GAGAGAGAGAGAGAGAGAGNGAGNGAGNGAGAGAGAGAGAGAGAGAGAGAGAGATCTGCTATGCGTGCGAGCGAGAGAGACGAGACCTGCTGTGCGATGCGAGGGAGAAACGGGTACGAGGGGCCTGCTTGGGCCTTCCGTTCATTGCGCGGCAAACGATCGGGTGCGTGCTAGAGGTAAGCGGGCGGCGGCGGCCTCATCTGTGATCGGCGGTAGCTTCCAAGGTTGCTTGGGAGGGGATGGGTATCGCCGTGCTGGTTGCGGCGATGCGGTTTGTCGGTGCGAGACGCACTCTGCGTGGTGGAGGAGATGGGGTATAGAGCGGGGGTATCAAAGGGGGCGATGCGTGCGCTTTCGATGGCACGCCCTTGGACAGGACAGAAGACAGTGAGAAATGGCGTCGATCGTCTGACAGACGGCTTACTTGCGGCCGTACGTCGAGGTGTCCCTGACGGTGCTGACGCCCGCAGCTTCGGCCAGGTTGAGGACCCCGCGTTCCTGATCGATGCCCTGGACGCCACCGCGGCTTCCGAGGCCGATGCCGTAGCCGTTGATCACAGGCTGCGACGAAGGGCCGGCGGCCGCGTGCAGCGGTGCCCAGGGTGCACGGCACCATACACAAGTGACCGAGCCCGAAGCGAGGCCGCCCTTGGACCTGCACCACTGCTCGAAGCACTCGTCGTGCAGGGGTCTGCCGCAGGACGTGGCGCAGAAGGTCAAGCCGTCGGAAGCGTCGGCGTCAAGATCCTAGAGGCGGGATCAGCGCAGGGTCGGAGGAGCGATACACGATGTCAGCACCTCGTGCACTTATCTCGGCCGCTCTGCCTGGCGACGGCGCAAAACAACTCACCTCGTAGCACACGGGGCACGAATCGCCTTCGACCGGCAGCACCCTCTTGCCCTGCGGCTCCTCTGGCTTGTCGGCCTGAGCGCTCCCTTCGCCCTCGTCGTCCGAATCCTGCCCTGGCTTGCGCAGGCCGACCGACTCCTCCCAGGCCCTGCGAAGCTGCTTGGGCGCCTGGACGCCCTCCTCGACGGGGTTGGGTCGGGCGGCCTCGAACAGCTCAAAGAGCTGCTCGTCGGTCAAGCTGCGCTGCAGCAGCACTGGCGAGTTCCTGGGCAGTCGAAGAACCTTGAGGTAGACAAAGAGGAGGTGCTTGCAGACCACCTTTCGGATGCGATAGTCCATGCAGCTGCAGCGCGGCTGCTCCGACACCGTCACCTTGTAGACGTCGCCGACCGACCCAAGGATGTCAAACTCCTCGTCGAGGTAACCGGGCGCGCGGAAGCGGTTGATGAGGAACATGCGCTGGGAGAGCACCCTAATCATACGATTCTTGGTCTGTCGAGGGCGAAGACCGGCATGAGAGTGGTCAGCGACACGATCTTATCGATGGAGAGTTTCGTGCCTCGGCCACTCACATCCTGAGGGAAGTGCTTCAGCTTGGGGTCGTTTTCGATCTCGGCGATGGCCGGGTTGACGGGCTTGCGCTTACGCTGTACCTGCTTCTTTCCGTCGACACGCTTGGCCTCGGCCTTGACCTTGACGGTGACCTCGGTGATGCCCTTGGCTTTGGCCTTGGTCGTGTTCTTCCTCTTGACCGCAGTCTCGACGCCGCGCGCGTCGTCTTCCGCCTTCATGTTCTCGGGCTTGATCTGGCTGCCACGCTTCGTCGTAGAGGCAGCCTTCTTCTGGCGCGGCAAGCTTGCGGACGTCGAGGCGAGAGCCGCCAGGGAAAGGTCTTTGTAGTTGACCTCCTTCTTGGCTCGCTTCGATCTGCGGGCGGGCGCTTCCTCGTCATGGCCGGCGATGTCCGCGGTGGCGGCCGGTGCAGCTGCTCGCTTCCTGCGACCTTTGGCAGCAGGCTGCGCAGGCCTGGTCACGGTGACGGTGACTTCGTCGAGCACGATGGGGTGAGCGACGCTGGCTCCCGGATCAGGAACGCCGACGGACGTCTCGGTGTCTTCGACCTTGACGCTGAGCTCGGAGGGAGCACCATGGTCGAGGGCCGCGCTGGTCGTAGGCACCGCCATGCTCTGCGACTGCGTCCCCTCCGGCAGCGGGGCGATCAGTGCGGCCGACATGTTGCCCTGACTGGGTGCGTCGTCTGGTGTTTCGGGACAGCCGCGAGGCCCGTGCAGCGCTCAGGAGGGGAAGCTGCTGCGACTGCGACTAAAACTGCGACTGCGACTGCGATTGATAGAGCGCAAAGTGGGAAAGAGGCAGGCGCGGATCAGGAAAGGATTGCCCCGAAGTGTGGCGTGAAAGAGGTCGGGTGGTGGTCGGGAGCCAGGCTGGGTCGGGTGGCAAATCCATGCTCCCGAAGCTTTCGGGCTGGACCCTGCCTCTGCCCTCGCTGGGCGCCCAGCCTGCTTAGCCGGCTGCTTGCTGCCCCACCTGCCCGACCTTGGGGCCTGCGTGCCTGCACAGCGGGCAGGAATGTGGGGGGACCGAGTCTTTCGGCCGAGTGACAGGCCAGGACCAACCGGCCTCGGCCCCAAACGCTGGCTCTGCCCCAGCCTGGCCGGCCTGACCGATGTGGCGGTCGGTGGTTGCCCCATGTCGGCGACGTTCGCCCAGCCTTCAAGAGCCAACGCCGTGACAGACGAGTCGCCGTCGACGGCCGGCCGAGGGCAGCCTTTGCGTTCGAGCGCAGGCCAGGCAAGCTTACAAGTAGTCAGGCAGGCAGGCAAGCAAGGCTCCCCATCTGTCGGCCTGGCCCGATGAGGATGGGACTTAGCCCTCGGTCTGCTGCCCGGCCGGTGCAAGCCGAAGCGCTGAGCTACCGTAACGGCACACTGCCGCGCTTCGGTGGTGCCGCCGTCTCTTGTGATGGTTTCGGAGATGCTCGGAAGCCCTCTGGCGGCCATCGAGCGTTGACGGCAGGCATTTCTGTCCGCCTGGCAACGAGGCTCTCTGCCGTACACTTGACTCACTACTGCGCGCCGATGACCTGGCTGCCATGGTCACTGAGGTAGGCGAGACGAAGCCAGGCCGCCCGAGATGGGTCGCGAAGCTGCTGGACAAGAGGCAGGACGTACGGCAAGCAGGGCAGGGTCAAGTCGGCCAGCAAGCCGTCCTGTTCCGGCGCGGTGCCAAGAGGCAAGCAGTGGCCCGGCCTGCCGTGCCGCGCCAAATGCAGGGTGATGCCAGCGGAAGCCCGGCCCACGGAACCAAGGGTCCGGCCGGCGAGGGAGATCGCGGCCGGTACCGGTAGCCCAGCCTGACCCTGGCCCCCAGGTCTGGCCCTGACCCTCGCTTGGCCTGGCCGCGGCAGCATTCCGGCTCCTCGCTCGCTCGCTCGACCTGGCGCGCCTCCGCCCGCCCGCCCCGGAGTCGATGCTTGCTGTGCTGTGCATGTACTCGTCCGGTCTCTCAGACAAGCCATGCCTTGCTACCCGTAGGCCTGCCTCGACGGCAAGATCGAAGGAGCGGGTCGATGCTTAACTACGCCGGATGTGGGCCGATGGCGAGCGCGTGGTTGACGTAGGTACCTGCGAAGTTCCTGATTGTTGGCGCTGGCGGGCCTGGCCGGCCGAGGGTTGCCAACCGACCAGGGTGCGAGCCGATGCCGCCGCGTGCGTGCGTGTTGGTCGTGACGGTATGGTACGGTGCGGTGTTGATCCGGCCGTGGGGGGGCTGCCTCGAGCGCCTTCTTCGTCTGCTTTCCTTCTCACCACCCACCATCAGACCACGCCGCTCCGCACACCTTCCTTGCTCCCCGTCCTCCTCCTCTCTTCGACCACCATCCGACCTCGCCTCTTCGGTCAGCTTTTATCCAGCGGAACGCGCCACCTGCTCCACCACACAAACACCTATCTTCGCCTCCTTCTGCCACCCGCCATCCATCCGACATCGCAAGGGCGGCGACCACCTACGGTACTGTGCGCCTCTTCCACGTCACTGCTGCACCTTATTGAGCCTGCGCGGCACCGGGCATCGACGTACATACACAACGTGGTACGGTGTTGCACAAACCTAGCCTGCATCCAGCTGTGCCAAGCTTGAGCTACTCTAGTCTGTCGATTTTCCGCCTTCCCCTTGCGTCTGCCCAGACGACGCACCACGCGCCTCGGGCTTCATCCGCAGCCTCCCGCCTGCCCCTGGCCCCCCTCGGTCCGGCCTGCTGTCACGCCCGTAGCTCACCGACGCAGGCTTTCAACCTCACTTCGCCGATCCTTGCCCGGGATCCCAGTATCCGGTGGCACAGCTGGCCCCATCGGTTATCTCCACCTCACCCCCCCCCCCCCCACCACCTCACGCTGTTGCAGTCGCAGCAATCCGCGGATCCACAAGGCCACGTCCCGACCCGCCATCTCAACGGCCACTGCTGCTAGCATCGCCTTCCAGCCCCCGTCGCCCCGTCTTCTCGCTCCACGACACCTTGAAGGAATCACGCGCCGAGACAGGATATGCCTCTCGCCGCCTTCGCGATCTTTGTTGTCCTTTCCGTCGAATCCTGGAAAGCCTCGTCGCGCGTCTACTACCGACGCAAGTCCCGCAAGCATGGCTATGCCGACTTGCCCACCGACGCCTATGGCCGGCCCGTCAACGACCGCGGCGAGAGGCTGAGCCGCAACCAGGCCAAGGCGCTCATCGCACACAACCGCGAGCTGGAGCGCATCAAGACGGCCGAGCGAGAGTGGCGGTTGGAGGGCGAGAAGCTGCCCAACTACGAAGAGGCCCGCAGCGCCAGCATCCGCGAGGCACTCCGCAGGCCCAGCACCGCGCAGCCCGGCGCCACCAGGAGCGTCAACCGCCGCATCGCCGGATCGCGCGCCACCAGCTGGGGCGGCACCCCCACCCCTCTGCTGTCGTCCTCGAGGTCCTCGAGTGGCTATGGCCAGCGCACCTCGGTCACTGCACGCAATGGTGCTGCCGGAGCGGATGCGCCCGTCGGCTCGGCCGTCGCGTTTGCCATCCGCCGCAACGGGCCCAACCTCGCCGTCATCCAGAGCAGGGACTCGTCGCTCGGCACCGACGGTGCCGCCCATGCCGTCGGCCTCACGGCATCCGTCTCGGCCCCGCTCGAGGAGCTGATGCTCGACGATGTCATCGAGAACGACGGCATGGACTGGCAGCGCGCCACATGGGAAGGCTCGCCCATCTACGCCGAGATTGACCGTTCTGCCACTCTGCCCTCGATCACCATGGCCACCGGCGGCGTCGATGCAGCGACGACGTCGCTCGCAGACACCCTGGACCGCCAGCCCTCGCGCCTGGTCATCTGAGCGACGACCGACACATCCCCTCCACGCCCAACTCATGCCAGCTCGACTCGCTTCTCCAGCTGGACCTGGCCAGCACCGACCTCGCCCGCTTCCGCCGCGTCTCTCTCTTCCGTCAAGGGCCTTCTCTTCCGTCACCGGTGCAACTTTGTCCTCTCTTTCGTGCTTCTCCTCTGCATCTCCGCTATCGCGCGCTGCCGCGACAACCTGGGCCGCCCGAGTGCCCCTTTCTCGGCGAGCGATCCCCCGTCTAGGGTGCGCCATCTGCCCGATCAAAACAACCGTGTCGCAACAGCGCGCCGAGGACCATGCACCGAGCCGACTCTCCAAGCTGTGATCGACGCTTCGCCCCTCGCGCGCAGCCCGTCGCAAGTCGGAGCGCCGCCCGCCATCCCGTCCCAGTCCCTCGCAGCATCCCTTCGTCGTTCCCTGTGCATAGTCCTAGTCCCGTTCGTCGTTTGTCGTCCGTCAGTTTTTTCCTTCTCGTTGTTGTATCATACTCGCGTCCCACCCGTCTCGTCGTTTGACTCTGTCGATATGAAACGATCGCTGTCGATAACGGCGTTGGAATGTGGTCGGCACGGGGGGCCAAGGGAGTGATGGGTGAGAACAGGAAGTGAGGAAGGAGACGTCGGGCGTGTATCGACGCCCCTTGCTCTGCGGGCCGAGTGCGACGAGAGGTGCGCAACCAGGCCGACAAAGAGGCGAGGACCAGATGTGGGTCGAGGCCGGGACGGACGTGCACCGTTCCTCGCCATACAGGCCGAGTCGGTTAGGCACACCTCACGATTCTGTCATTGCCCATCGAGACGGGCCAGAACGCGCCCACAAACAAGGCCTTTGCATCGATGAGATGCGCAGACCGATCTCTCAGCCCCCAATAGGGAGACGTGAGGAGACAGGGTGTGTGGCAAGATCAGAGCGTTTTGGGAATTGCTTTTGTGCGTGGTGCTGCGTAGGGTGGTACGGACGATCCTTTCGGACCGGACCGGACCGGAGGTGTGGCATAGAACAAGCCCTCGTGACGAAGGGGTGATGGAATGAGAGGGTAGGGGGGGAGTGGGGGATGGTGGTACAAGAGTCGAGAGAGGGTGTCGTGTCCCGTCTTGAGGTGCCGAGATGCGTGGCCGACCGCCGCCCGCACCCCTCGTCGATATGTGCGTGCGGATGCGAGGTCCTCGGATGGATGCGGATGGAATGGTCCGAGGCGCGGCTCGAGTTGAGGAGACCGACCGACCGATCGACCGACGGCTGATGTCGGAATCAGAGGGTGCCAGTTGAGGTCGGTGGGTTTGTGGTCGGTGCACCGGTGCCAGCGGGGGTTACGAGTGCATCTGCACCGCCAGCGACGGGGGCCAAGTCACGACCAGGGACAAGACCCCGAAGTGACCATGACCGGTCGACGCCATGCGAGAGCTCCGACGGCGCTACATCTGCCCCGCATCCCCGATACACCTCCATCGTTGCAACCCCGAGTCCCACTCCCTCCATCACCTCCAGCCACTCCACACCATCGACGAGAGCGGGGCGGTCGGGTCGGGCAGTGAGGGAAAGACGACGCCTTAGGCCTGGGCCTTGGCGAGGCGGGCCTCCTTGTTGACCTTCTCGGTGCCGTGCTGTGCGAAGCGCTGGTTGCGCACAAACTTGGGGTCGACGCCGCGCATCGAGGGGTGCCTCAACCTCTTCGGCTTCTTGATGCCGTTACGGTGCGCCTTGCGGCTCATCGTGTGCTGAGACGAGTTCTTGGACTTGGCCCTGTCGATCCGTTCGGACACGGTGAGCAAAGCAAGAAGGCCGAAGGAAAAAGCGGGGGAGTGTGTTCAGCGTGACTGTTCGATTCGAGTATGGTCTCCCCTGCCTTTCTCGTTCCTGCTTCGAGCCCGCAACGACAGTGGCGAGCCGTATCCTCCGGCATGCATCGAGATGGCGACCCTGGTGACGCAGCGGCGGCAGCGGCAGCATAGGGGTACTACTCACATCTTGAAGTGATTCTACCGGGGTTGAGGTGGTGGAATTGTGGTGGTGGGGAGACGGGAGCAACGGCCGTCCGAGACGGGCAGGCGGGCGGGCGGACGGGCGCCCTCTCCAGCCGTCTGCTAACAGGCCAGCAGCCTGCCGGCCTGCCTGTTGGCCTGCCTGCGACCTCCTTCTCGGCGGGCTCGCAGCCTCTGGGCCCCCAGCCGACCGCTCGCTCTCGCCCGCAATTTGGGCCAAGGTGCTGCGGCAATGGAATCCGAAACGGCCTTTGCGCCCGTCAGCATTTGTAATCAGGCTGGGAAAATGTTTTTTCCTACTCGCACGACACACGGCCGGCCACCGGCGCTCTTCGCGGGCTCAGACCAATCCGCAAGGGGCCAAGCAGACCACGCCCCGCAGACCAAGGCACACGTACGCACGCTCCAACCGCCACGCGCTGGCATCCGACGTATGCTGGGTCGTCTCTCATCATCGTGATCATTATAATGCCCGCAACCAGCTGCGGATCGACTGCCACGCAGGTAGGATGGTGGGAACAAGGAGCAGGTGGGGCCAAGGGGGAAGCTGGCGGCGCTAGCCATGCGGGGCGCGCGGGGTATACCAAAATCGAAGGGATTGTCTACGCTAGGTCGCTCTGCGGGACGAGGTGCAAGAGTGCCACCTGGCACTCGCGCTAGACTCTTTCGGTAGAGTCGACGACCTCATCGGCACCCGCTTCCGTCGTCAGCGTGGACCCTAGCGGCTGCTGCTGCTGCGAAGGTGTCGTTGCGACTACCGTGCCTCGACGAGTCTGGCTGCCGATGTCTCCGTCACCCTCCCAAGCCCCTTCCTCCGCGCAATCCTCGTCCCAGTCCGCCTCAATCTCTTCAGTGTCGATGGCTCGTTTTGGCTGCGGCGCACGGAGACCGTGGGGCAGCCCCTGAGCTTGGTTTTGCCGGAGCTTGTCCCTGCCAGACGAAGGCTCTGCTTCGCCGCCGTACGGGTAGGGCGGCGGCGGCGTCTTTGCAGAGCCGATGGGGGTGTCTTCGGCAGCGTGGAAGTCGCCAGAGCTGGGCAGACGGCGCAGCAGACGAGATGCACTGGGAGGCTGCACCGCGGCCGATGTTGTCAATGACGACGATTGTCGCGCCTCGGCCAGCAGCGTGCCATTGGGGCCGATGTCGGTATCGCCCTCCTTGCCCCCGTAAGCGCGTGCATCCATCGGGTTCGACTGGTCGTAGCAGTCTGGCGACGACGTCGCCTGGCTCAGGCTCGATCCGTTCCGCTTCTCGTTCGAGGTGGCCTCGGTCCAGGAGCGCGCAAAGCGCCCGCCGCCAGCGCCGTTCGAGGCCGTCGAGCCGTTCCGCAGCAGCGGCACCGTCGCCTCCTTGTTGGCGGCCGAACGCGAGCGCTGATGCCCCTCGCCGCCGTACTCTTCCTCGTCGCAGGATGCCGAACCGACGCTCTCGAGATCGATGTCATCGCCACCCCTGGAGAGCCGACTGGCGTGCGAGGGTGCCGGCGACGGCCCACGCCAAGAATCCGGCAGGAGCGACGCGGCCCAGCTGGTAAGGTTATTGGCGCCGCTGCTCCCGCTCGCCTGCCATCCCGCCGCGACGCTGCTGATCGAGGAGCTCGGGCTGAGCTGCGAGCTCGACTCGTCTCCGCGGCTGACAAAGTAGGCGGGCAGGTAGAGCACGCCACCCTTCTTCTTGCCGACACGCGGAGAGGCAGGGCGGCCAGTGGAGGCGGAGGACTCGGGGTCCGCTGCACCCTCGTTGCGGGACGATGGCCGAGAGAGCGTCTGTCCCACCCATGCGAGGACCGACTGCGGCGCGTCGCGGTTGGCGGCCTCTTGCTCCTGCAGCTGGAACAAGGGAAGGCTGAGCCGTTGCGAACGGTTCGAAGGCATCGAGAGCCGGGAGCCGCTCGCCGCAGAGCTGCTGCTGGCACCGGCCGCCAGCTCCTCGAGAGGCATGGTCCTGTCGTCGGCGGTCGACCTGCGCTTCGACCGGTGTCGGCTCAGCGTGCTGCTTCCCGTACCCACGGGCAGCCCGATCCAGCGGCCACGCGATCGCGACCTCCGCCGGGAGCCGGTGCTCTTGCTGCCCAGGCCGAAGAGCGCCGTGGCCACCATGGTGCGGAAGAAGCCGTAGCCGACGACGCAGGCGCCGATGAACATGAGCAGCCGGCCGTGATCCCGCAGGAAGATGAGGAAGCCGGCATCGTTCGAGTGCCAGCTGCTGCCGTAGAAGTGGGCAAAGAAGGCATCGGGGACGTCGGAAGGCTTGGCGTTCTTTCCGTAGAGCGACTTGGGCAGCACGCGGACGCCCGAAAACCCGGCGCTCGGCTGAGACGGCGTGGAAGGGGTAGCGGGACCGTGAGCGTCGACGTAGAGGCCGTACGAGGCCGAGAGGAACATCGGACCCGTCGAGAACATGACGGTGGGGTAGTTGGTCAGGTACTGGTGGTTGAAGGTGATGAGGTTGTGGATGACCTGGTCCATGAACGGGTGACCCTTTTGCGCCAGCATAATGTCGTTGGACACGCCAATCGGGCGGGTGCGGGGCAGGACGACCTCGAAGCGGAGGAGCGGGTCGAGCCTGCGGTTGCAGCCGACGTCGAGGTCCATGTACACGCCGCCGTAGTGGTGAAGCACAAAGTAGCGGATGGCGTCGGCGCGCTGGATCGGGTAGGGGTACGCGTCGAAGACGGGGATGAACCAAGGGTAGTGCTCGGCGATGAACTTGCGAGACTCGGCATCGGTCCAAAGCATGTACTCGCTGCGTGGCAGAGGTGGCAAGGAGTGCAGGGGATCAGGAACACGTCACGAATCGTCGGTCTTGACTCGCCGGCGCCGGGGGGAACAACTTCGCTCAGCTCGAGAGACTCACTAGTCGGGGTGCATGGCGGCACACTCGTCACGCACCGCCTGCCATCGAGGCGGCAGATGCTCGTCCTTCCAGGTCTGGTGGATGATGCGCGGGATCTTCTCCGGCGGGTTGGCCGGGTCATAGGGGCGTGGGGTGTTGTCTCTCCAGGTAGGGGCGGCCGACGCTTCGGGCGAGGCGGGCTGCACGGCGCCCGAGGGGCTGGCCCTGGAGCCATTGGTGATGGCGTTGGGGTCGTGGCCGTAGAGCTTGGCGAGCCATGGCAGCCTGGCCGCCCAGCTGTCCGGGCCGTCGGGAGAGCTGCCGAAGCGGATCTCGTCCCAGGTGCCGAGCTCCTCGGGAAGGACGTAGGCGCTGTTGTCGATGCTGAAGTAGGCGGTGGCCGTGGTGAGGACGATGACGGCGCCGACCAAGAAGAGCCCCAGAAGGGTGAGGAGGATGGTCGACGTCCTCCGGGAGCAGAAGAGCGGCATCTTGGCGCGCGGTTTGCCTTTGGGTGCGCAAGATCAAGGCGTGTGACGAGAGGAAGGCGGAAGCGGCAAACGCCGATAAGGTGGCGGCGCAAGCTGCGCCGGAAGCAGCGGTGCAAGGACGCACGCGGGTTGCTGGGACGAGAGCAGTCTTCAAGCGTCCCTCTTGAGCCAGCGAGGGAAAATGAGGGGGTGTTGGTTGGAGATCTGTACAGGTCAGGCTATCGAGACCGTTGCTCCGGTGCTGAAGTCGCACGCCGGTGAGCCGCTGAGCTGATAGCGGATCGAGGAGAATGAAGGTGGCGAAGGAACAGGGCACCAAGCCCGACGTGCGCCACGGAAGAAAGCAAGAGGCGTGGAAGCGGTGGCGAGGTGATAGGGCGACGGGTCGATGGCAACGAAGAAGGTGAAGTCGAAGAATGATGATGAGAACCGAGAAGAGAGCACAAGAGGGGGCCGACCAAGGGCTGGAGAGAGGATACGGCGCGGTCGAAGGTCCAGGTAGGGTTGGGTGAGGAAGGCGAGGAGCGCTGGCCAAGAGGCAACAGACTACGCACGCTTCCGAGCTCCCTGTAACGTGGGCCACGGCACGCTGCTGGCGGCGACACAGCAAGCAAGCAGGCGAGCAGGCAGGCAAGAGAGGAGGAGGCAGGGGTGCGTGTCGGGGCGAGGCGGCAGAGAGAGAGACAGAGGCTAGGCTGCGTTGGCCAGCGCTGGGCTGGTCTGGTCTGGGCTGGGCTTGGCTTGGCTGCCCCCGCCCCTCGCCCCTCGAGCGAGGCAGGACGACCAACCATCCAGCCCACCCAGTCCAGAGGGGTGTCGAGCAGCCGAGCTCCAAGCCCCAATTCCGCCCCCCGCCTCCAAGCCCAGCTGGCCAGCCGGCAGCCCTAGCCTACCTCTTGGCCCTTGGGCCGCCGCCGCCGCCCCCCGCGTGCCCTCTCTCCAAAATAAAAAATCACCAGCAAACCTGCGTGTTGGGTTTTTTTCAGAGAGGAGGCCAAGAGGCCCGGCCCGCCAGGCCTGACCATCGCCTCGAGGCCAGCAGGCGGGAGTCGGTTTCCTGCTGGCCGCCAAAGCACATGCCCCGGCGCCCTCCTTGGGGCTGGGGCCCTCTCCGCCGTCGGAGCCACACCTCTTCCGCCCTCGCCTCTCCGCCTCTTGCTCTGATCTGGTGACGACCATGCATCCGCTCCGCCCATCACCGACCGACGTCGACATCGCCATCGTCATCGTCATCGCCACCATGCTCCCGGCGGCCTTGTGTTGCACCTCCGCAAGAGCCCCGGCTGGGAGCGACAGGAGGGCGTTGAGCGGGCACGCGGACCGTCGATACAACCAACACACCAGGGCAGGCAGGGCGGCAGCAGCTGTTTAGCTGGCCTCAGCTGTTTAGCTGGCCTGTAGTACGCGGCCTGGCCTGGCACCAAATTATTGACCGCAGAGTATGTAGCTCCCCCCTTGCGTTTGTTCCTGGACGCGGGCAGGTCAGAGGCCAGACGCGTTCCGTCCTTGGGCTGCGCCGTCGAGGCTTTGCATGCTTGCTTGCACCACGCCGACGTCGGGCGCACAACAAACGTTCGCTGCGGCCGCGCTGCGGCCGGCTCGCAAGCTTGCCGCTGCTTGTTGTTCAAGCCGTCCCTCTGATGGGCGCAGGCAGGGCGCGCCATGGCCAGGCCGTCTTGCTTTCGACCAGACCGGCCCTTCGGCACGAGGTGGCCTAGCCGAGCGCCCCGGAACTGCCGTGGCCAGGCCCCGACCTTGGCCCTGGCCCTGGCCTCCTCCGCGGGAGAAGGCGGCGGGCGTGGGTTTGGGTTGCAAAAACAACCGGCGCGGCTCGTGCGTCGTCGTTGTGCCATGCTCCAACTCGGCCCGAGTGAGTCGCAGCAGCGCGTGCCATGGACGCACGCTGCTCTACGGCATCCTTCGGGCGGTCCAGGCCGTGAACCACCAGATCGACCTCAGGTCTGAGACCAAAAAGGTCGCCACCACGCGCGTATCAGCATGAGGCGCCGTGGCATGAGCACGTCTATGCACATACGGTACGTACGCTCCGGCAGGGGGCCGAGCGGTGCGTTGCGGTTTGGACCGGCATGCGTCGGTGCCTCCCGATCAAGCGCGCTTGCCAGGCCGGCCTGCCCGGCCGAGAGGCAGGACGAGCAAGGACCGTCCCGATTCTCGACACAAGAAGAAGAAGCGTTGGACGCTCGCGACCGCCGCCGCCGCCGCACCCCGGCCTTTCCCCCGACAAAATACGGGGTCTTCCATGCTGTCTAGGGAGCTTCGTACGGGCAGGCTGGGCGGCCTATGCTGCACAATGATGTCCAGAGTCTATCCGCGCACTGGCGTCCTGGGCGGCCGCGGGGGGCGACTCCGTCCATCCCTGCGCCATCTATGAGCCTTCATGCCTCGAGGCGGTGAGATGCTAGGCTGCTTGGCGCGACCTTGTGGTCTATCTGCATCCTGGCGACGCGGGGCAAAGGCGGTGCTCGCCAACAAGCAAGGCAAGCAAGCAGGAGAGAGAGAGAGAGAAGGACTTCACCTCGGCGTAAGTACGTGAGGCAGCTCGCCTCGTCATCGGTGATCCTGGCCTCGATCGGCAATCGCCGTCCCCGCGCTGGAACATCGTCATCGCCTTTGCCCGATCTTCAGAACCTCGGTTGGCCGCTGCACGTCGTGCCACGACCCCGTTGGGCGCAGTCACGTCGTCGGCCAACTGCGTAGGCACCACTCTGCCGGCCGCCCGTCGTTGAGGTCCATCGCATGCTATGGCCACAGCATGGCCGTGGAAGGTCGCCGACGTCGGGCAAATCCACCGCAGCCGCCTGCTCGAACCTTGTTGAAGTACTACTAAGGTGCCAGCCCTCTGACTCAGGGCCTCCGTAGCACAGCTGGAATTCCACGCTCCCCCATCCCCGCCCCGCTCCGAGCTGTTTGAGATGCAGGGTGAGAAGCCCACAGACGGGCCTGCATGTTCGGATCTCCCATCCTCCCCCCCTCCCCGCGCCGTTCTTAAAGAGAGCCCCACGACGCCGCGACAGGCAGCAGGGCAGACACGCACGCACACGCCACAGGAATACGGCACGAGAGAGCGACGGATCTGGCGTATCGGGCCGTCAGAGTCGCATACACGAGTTGGCGCGGGCGAGGGGCGTAGAGAGCATCGGGCGAGGATCTCACACTACACTTCCACACGGTTGTTTGCTCGTGAGGCGCGGGGGGTTCGAGGGAGGGTGTGTAGCCAGCCAACAACGGTGCACGCCGGGTCACCTTTTTTCTTCCCGGTTTTCGTAGGCAAGGGGCGGGACGGGTTGGGAGCCATCGTCGTCAGGGCCAGGCCTAGGATACCGTAGGGTCCAGGGCAGTAGACGAGCCGACCAGGCGCCGACCGAGGGGAGTAAATTTACATCTCCGCCCCGCCCCCATCTTCGTCATCTGATCCCGTCTCGCCGTGCACCCCGGCGATACATCGACATCAGCTGCTGCTGATCCTGCTCCTGTCCCTGCCAGCACAAAGGGGAAAGACGCGAGGAACAGCCTGGCGACCGGAAGCCTCAGAGGACGCACAGACTCGCACAGCACCAGATGGTCGGCAGACGGCAAGCAAGGGCGAACGGGGTGACACGGGTCAAATGACGAAGCTGGACTGGTGGGCTGGATGGACAGAAATCTTGTAGAGTCGATGAAAAGCGGCGGGACGGATCAGATGGAACGGGAGCGATGCTGCAAAGGTGAAAGTGACTAGCGGAAAGCGGACCTCTCGTGATGATGGATGGACGGTGTGCGGGAAAACAGCGGGGAGCCGTCGGAAAAATGTGAAAAAGGCGAGGAAAAATCAAGGGACAACGCCGTCATCTCTTCTGCCGCGTGGGTCGGGGTCGACGGTCCTTTATTATTCTAGCGTCAGGTCCGAGATGGCCTTGTTGAGCGCCGCGCTGGCAGCGACGAAGCTGCTGACGTTGGAGTCGGTCGGCTTGGGCGGGGGTCTAGACGGGGCTGCCGACGCGCCGGCGGAACCGGAGGCGGAGCGGCTGGTGGTCGTCGCCGCCGCCGCCGCCGCCGAAGAAGAAGAAGAAGAAGAGGGGGCCTGGCCGTCGGCGTCACCGTCTCGGCGCGGAAAGACGCTGCTGCCGAGCGGCGAAGACGAAAAGGGCATGGCGTACGAGGCGGCCGACGATTTGCCATGCGGGCTGTGGCTGTCGCGCCGCTCACCCGAGGCCACGGCCGCAATGGCCGGGCTACCCTTGCGCGGCACGGCCTGGCCTACGCCGCTCGACATCGAGGCCGAAGCCGAGATCGAGCCGGTGCTGGACGGCGTGGCCGTTGGAGGGGGCGACTGAGCGTCGGCCGCGCCAGTTTCGGCAGAGGCCGGAGGCTGGGCGCTCGCATTGGCGTGCGCCTGCTGCAGCGGCGTAAAGCCGAGCCTGGCCAGGATGGCGCACACGTCGATGCGCTCGAGCGGCTTGGCCAAGACGGCGTCAAAGACGCTTCCGGCGGCGTCGATGGGCTCGCCGCGATCGAACGAGGCAAGCGCGACGATGGGCGTCTGCGAGTTGGCGTTGCGCGTCGACTTGACCATCCGGGCCACGTCCTGGCCGTTGACGATGGGCAGCGTCACGTCGATGAAGAGGACGTCGAAGCGATCGTCGCCCATGGCCAGCCGGACCGCCTCGGCGCCGTTGCGGACCGCGGTGCATCGGCAGCCCAGCTTGGTGAGGACCAGCTCGAGCATACGCAGCGCGATGGGGTTGTCCTCGGCCACCAGGCACTCGATGGCGTTCTTGTCGGGACCGGCGACCGCCATCGGCGCAGACTCCGAGCCCTGCTGGGCGGGCGCCGGACCCGCAGTGGTCGGCGAGTGGGCTGCCGACTGCGAGGCAGGCGCGGCCACGCTCGACCTCGGCTTGCTCGACTCGGACCAGTGCGGCGGCAAGGTGGGCCGCTCAGAGACGCTGGCGGACTTTGTCCTCAGCCTGGTCGGCATCGAGTTGCGCCGCGCCGAACTGTCGACCTCGGCGAGCTGAGACCGCTTGCGGTCGACGATGCCGGGTGCTGCCGTCGCCGCTGCCGCCGCTGCCGCCGTGGCACCTGCGGTCGAGTGCAGCGAGGGCATCGGGATCGAGGGCGAGGTCATCGGAGAGTGCGTGAAGAGCGCGGCGAGCTCCGAAGGCCGCCTCGCGTGCGCCGAGTTGAGCAGCAGGCCCGAGGGCGACGTGGGCGCCGTCGAGCGCGAGGGCGTCGAGCCCTGCGACGAGATGCTCTGCGAGGGCGACGGCGGACCGCCGACCGCCTGCAGCTGCGCGCGCATCATGGCCTTGCCCTTGGCCGAGAAGCTGCGGTGGCGGCCGTGCATGCCCGATGGCTGCTCGAGCGTCTGGGAAAGCGCGGGCATCTGGTCCTCGCGCATCTTGCGGATCACCTCGTCGTTGGCCTGCTTGAGGACGGGCAGGTTCTTGTAGCTAAAGTTGCCGAAGTCGTCGGTCTGCGAGCGTTCGCCCATCTGACCACGCTCCAGGCGGCTGCGCATCCGCGACGAGGGAGGGCGACCGGTCTCGATGACCTTCTTGCCCTCGATCGCCCGGGCAAACTCGTGGGTGCTCTGCGCGTGGTCCTCGTCAAATTCCTGGTGGACGGCGCCTCGCAGGTCAAAGTAGTCGGTCGACTCGGGGTCCGCCACCTGGGGCACAAAGGGGCCCTCGTCGGCGGTGACATTCTCCCAGTCGATGCCCTCGAAGAAGGGGTGCCTCTTGATCTCGTCGACGCCGTTGGAGCCGAGCCTCGTCTTGGGATCGGTGCACATAAGCGCCTCCATGAGGCCGCGCGCCTCTGGCGAGATCTCGACCGAGTCCTCCTCCCAGTCGATGCGGCGCGAGAGGATGTTGTCAAACACCTTTTCCGGCGTGTCTGCGTGGAAGGGCGGGAAGCCGTAGAGGAACTCGTAGAGGATGACGCCGAGCGCCCAAAAGTCGACGGCGAAGTCGTCCATGCCGATGCCGAGGATGCTCTCGGGCGCGAGGTAGTCTGGCGTGCCGACAAAGTGCTTGGGCTGCGACGGGCTGGCGTCGTTGGTGAGCAGCGGGTGCGAGCCAAACGGCGCACCGTGGCTGTCGACCCGGGCCGAGGGAAGCGGCTTGGGCGCGCTCGGGTTGCCCTCGGTCTCGCTGCTGTCGCTGACGTCGGTCGACGAGCTGACAATCCGCCCCCTCTGCTGCGCCGAGAAGAAGGGCTGATGCATCAGGCCGATGAGGCCCGGGGTCGAGGGTGAGAAGGAAGCGGCGGTGTCGCCGGCCGAGGTGCCCGCCGGCGTCGACACCGAGGGATGGCGGTTGTTGGAGCCGGGCGACGCCGACGAGCTCGGAAGCGAGCCCGCAAAGGCGTCCGAGCGGCCGCCACCGGTGCTGAGGCCTCCGAACGGGCTGCCGGCCCCCACGGGCGCGCCGAGCGCGGCGGGCCGAGTCTGGCGGCCCAGCAATCCGATCTTGGACAGTCCGAAGTCGGTCAGCTTGAGGTGGCCCTTTTGATCGATCAGCACGTTGTCCGGCTTCAGGTCTCGGTGCACCACGCCCTTGGAGTGCAGGTGCTCGAGACCGACGACAATCTCGGCGAGGAACTGGCGCGCCCACTCCTCGGGCAGGCCGCCGAGCACCTTGCACAGCGAGGCGCAGTCGCCACCAGGCAGGTACTCCATCACGAGGTAGAGGTAGTCAGAACTCTGGAAGGTGAAGAAGAGCTTGACCACGAACGGCGACTGGTTCTGGGTCATGAGGATCATGCGCTCCGCCTTGACGTTGGTGATCTGGTTCTTGGCGATCATGTCCGACTTTTTGAGCACCTTGATGGCGTAGTAGTCGCCCGTGGTCCGCTTCTTGGCCAAGAAGACCGAGCCGAACGCGCCCTTGCTGATCGGCTTGATGATGTCGAAGTCCTTGATCGACGACGCCGTGGGCTTCGACGACGGTGCGGTGGGCGGCAGGCGAGGCGACAGGGGCATCGAGCCGGCCATGGGGCTGCGGTGCGAGATGCTAGGCTTGCGCAGGTTCCTCGACGAGACGCCGAGCGACTCGGACAGCGGGTAGCGGGGCGACAGCGGCGGTGTCTGCAGCAGGGAGTGGTCGCTGGGGAGCGGAAGGTGGGACGCGCGCCGAGATCGACTCGTCGAGCGACGCTCTCGAGGCGCAGGGTCGGCGCCCTCGATGGCGAGCAGCAGCGACTCGGCCTGCCGCGAGCTCTTGGCGTGGGACGAGGCCGCCGCACTGCCGCCGCCCGAGGGGATCGGGATGGGCGCAGGGCCAGACGGACCCCCGCCCATCTGCTCTTCCACCGCCGGGATGTCGTCTTCGGCCGTGCCCGCCGTGCCCGTGGCGCCGAGCTGGCTCGACTGCGGCAGCTGCGGAACTTCTCGATCGTCGCGGTCGAGCAGGATGCCAGATGGCAGATCGCCGTCTTCGTCGTCGTCCGCATGCTCTCGCGCCATGCCGGCCTCGCTGTCGTTGGACGAGGAGCTCAGATCGACCTTGAGCGCTTGTCGCAATGTGGAACTGGCTCCTCGGCCGCCCTTGTTCGCCGCAGCTGTCGAGGCCCGCGCCGGACCGACGCCGAAGGACGCCGCCAGGGTGGGCGTGGGGGCATCGGATTCGGGCTGCGGTGTCGCCAGGGCTTCTACGTCCCGGTCGGGCTGGCGTGCCGGGCCGTGGTCGGGCTGCAACGGAGTGGGCGCCTCTTCGACCTCGTCCGACGACGACTCGCCAGCGTCCACGCTGATCTCGTCCCCGCTATGCTCGCTGCTGTGCTCCTGAGAGCTGGTGTGGTCGCCCGACGCCTCGTCCTCCTCCGAGACGGCGGCCAGCGCGGCCTCGACGCTCACCTCCCACTCTTGGCGCACCGTCTCGACGTAGACGATCGTGTTGAGCATGCGATTGACGGCGCTCAGCTTGCCACGCATGGCCGCCTCGACGTCGGTCATGAGGGCGTCGATGGCGGCGTCCTCGGCCGGGGTGCGGCGCCACTGCTTGACGGCGACCACCTTGTTCTCCGAGGTCGGCGAAAGGAGGCGCTGCTTTTCGATGGGCTCGTCGGCCTGCTCCTCTTTGGTCGCAGGCGTCGAGATCTCGAGCGCCACCTGCAGGATCTCGAGGGCAGCGTCGAGCGCCCGCATGTGCGTCTTGCGCACCGACGCCGCGTTCGGCTGACGAGGCAGCACGGAGCGGTTGATGCCCTCGAGCGCCGATGGGGGCTGCGTCGACGCCGGCGGGGTCGTCAGCTGGATGCCGCGGTAGTCGACCGGCGGGTCGCACGGCTGGTCGTGCGCGTCCTCGAGCCGCTTGACGATGGCCTTGACGGTGCGGCGCAGCTCGTGCAGGCTCTCGTTGCACTCGCCAATCTCCATCTCGAGGCGATGGACCTCGTTGCAGATCTCCGAGTGCTTCTCAAAGAACCAGGTGGGGATGTCGCGCTCGCAGATGCGGCAGAGGAGCGGCTCGACCGAGATTGAGGCGACGTGGGCCACCGTGGCCGTCGGATCGTCGAGGAAGCTGGACGCGGCTCGCCCGCTCTTGGGGCCCACCACCTCGGGCAGGTCGGCCTCTGGCTCCGGCGGGCCGCTGGGCTTGAAGACCCACATGGTGTGCGAGGGCAGTCCGTTGTGCCGGTCGTGCATCAGCATGCCCTTGCCCTCCATCTCCTGGAAATAGCGGGTCTCGTCGACGTCGCTGCCGTCCTCGGACGCGTCCGAGGCGGTCGGGCTGACCAGCGCGGAGCGCTCGATCCGAAGGCGGAAGATGGCCTCGACCGTGTGCGACTCGTTGGCCTGCAGCTGGGCGGACGCCTCGGCGAAGACGTTGACGTCGCCCGAGGCGAGCAGCTCGGCGATCGGCACATCGTAGAGCTCGGATGGATCGGAGCCGATGACGAGCTTCCAGGCTGGGCTGAGGTAGAGGAAGCGCTGGTCCTCGAGGCTCAGCTCCATCAGCACGTTGACGCCGGCGTCCTTGTGCTCCCCGGATGCCTCATGCGCCGATCGAGCGGCGGCCGCGGGCGATGGCTCTGCCGCGACCAGTTCGCGATCGACGATGGTCGTGTCGCCCTCGTCTGCACCCAAGGCGGACGTGTCGGACAGCTTCCGCGCCATGGCAGCGCCGGCAGACGCGGCGTCGGCGGGATCCGGGGCGCCCTGAGCTGCGAGGGCGGGCGAAGCCGTTGCGCTGGTGCTTGCGGCGGGACCCGACGGCTCCTCCTGATCGTGCTCGGGTGCGGTGCTGCGCTTCCGCGTCGGGCTGTGGCTGTAGCCGGCGCCCCAGAGGTGCGGCGGCGCCCTGGCCTCGCCGCCTTCGCCTTCGCCCTGGCCGCCACCGAGGATGAAGCGGATCGGCTCGGCGTCGTGCTCCTCGTCGTCGTCGAAGTTCCAAAACCCTTTTTCGGCCTCCCACCACTCGACGACTCGGCTGAGGCCGGCCACGGCGAGCAGCAGGCGTACGTACCAGCCTCGGCCAGGCCACTCCGGATGCTCGTCCCAGTCCCGACCGACTGTCTGGACGGCGGCGATGATCTGCGAGCAGGCGCCATGGCGTGCGATGAGCGAGTTGATCGACGTGTCAAGGACCTCCATGGCCAGCGCGACGAGCTCCGAGAGCGCCGGGATCCACGGCTGGAGCTTGCCTTCGTCTGCGGGCAGCGGCCTCGTCCGCCGCGCGGGCGACAGGCGCGGCGAGCTGGACGCCACCGAGAGGCTCGAGGCCATGGGCACGCCAGGCAGGGGCGAGTGGGAGCGCGAAGTAGGCCTCGAGTTGGACGCAGAGCGGCTGGCCCGGCTTGCAGACTTTGTGCGGCCGAGCGGGTTGAGCTTCGATGGGCGCGGGGGATTCGCGATCCCCGTCGGACGTCCCACCACTGGCTGCGAAGAACCGAGAGCAGCAGGCGTCGGAGGAGCCGGCAGTCGGTACTCGCGCGAGCCAAGCGTGGGCGTCGTTTCTCTGTTGTTGCCCGGTGTTCGAGCACCGAGAAGCGAGTGCTGCGACACTCCGGCTGTGGCGAGGGGGCCAGAACGGGCCGTGTAGGGGTGAGCGCGGGCGTCCGGAGGAGGCGCCGTCAGCGTCGGCAGACGCAGCTTCCTCGGAAGTTCGAAGGCAGGCCCGATCTGATCACTCACCTTGCGGGGTTTCGTCCGGATCGAAGCTCTGGTCATCGATCTCGTCCAGCGGCAGGCGTTCCGTTGCCGACGTCGGCTCGCTCGAGGCAAACGAGCCGGCGCTGAAGTCGCGATACATGGTCGCGGACTCGGCGCGAGTCCCGGTGCTCCCGTCGCTGTGGATGCTGTCGCCGAGGCCGAGCTGCTGCGAGAGGGTGACGTCGTCGCCGTCAAACACCTCTTCCACCTCGTCGTCATCGCCATCGACGCCTAGGGCGCGCTGGTTGGCCTCGTCCTCTTGCCGTTCGAGGTCCGCCTCGACGAACGAGCTGATGGCGGCGACAATCTTGCGCAGCTCCCTGTCGCAGCTCTCCTTGGACGCGGCCAGACGCTGGCGGATGTGCTGGTGGACCGAGTACATGGTCATTTCCTTCGACGTCCGGCCCTGGCTCGCGCGTACGCGCCCACGCTTGCCTTCCGCCTCGGATTCGTCCTGGCTGACGGCGCCGCTGGCGCTGCCCTCGAGCATCGAGTGCCGCTTGGACGACATGCCAGCCTCGCCGTCGCCGGGTTTCCAGGCTCGCGAGAGGCGTCGCCGCCGTGGGCCGGGCGAGCGCGTGATGTTGGTTCGAGGCTCGACGGGTGAGGTGACGGCGCTCGCGGCGCTCGTCGGTGGCTCCGGCCGCGCCTCATCTTCCTCCGGCGAGAGGGTCGAGCTGGGGCCGCTTAGCGGAGAGAGCGGTTGGCGGGCCTCTAGGCGATCGCCCTGCGACAGCGTGTTGAAGCGAGAGCCTTTGGGATCGAGGCTGTCGAAGCCGCCGGCATCAAAAGTGCTGAAGCCTCTCTCGAGCTGCAGCGAGAGCTTCGGCTGGTGCTGGCGCCGTTTGATCGAGTCCTTGCCCGTTGTCTCTGCGCTGCCGCGGGATGACACCGAGCCGCGCCGATCCTCTGCAGCAGCAGCGCCAGCGGCTGGCTGGCTCGGCGAGCTGGCGGCAGCGGCGGTCCGATCTTCGCCGGCATCTAGCCTCTGCTGTTCGGCCGCCTGCTTCTTCTCCAGCAGGTTCTGCGCGGACGACGAAGGGCGCAGTGTGTGCACCGACTCTGGCACCTTGCTGCCGAGCGTACCGGTCTGCGACCTGCTGTGCCGGGCAAAGGCCTCTACGGCAAGCGGGCAGGGTTCTGCGGGCGCGGTCCCCACCTCGAACGCTGCCTCGTTCGAGGCCGCCTGCCGCGGAATCGACTGAGCCTTGACGCGTTGTGGCGACGATGAGAACGACTGGGCCGTCGGCCGGGTAGGCCTCTGCGGTCTCTGTGGGCCCGGCTGCCGCGACTGGGTTTGCGCCTGCAGCGTGCGGCCGCCCTGCTCGGTCATGTGCCCGCCGAAGCCAGACTTGACCGCGCTCCACCACGCCTCGATCTTGCCGCCGAGCTGCCGCCGCTTGCTGCGAGAGGCCTGCTGCTGGGCCGAGCTGCTCGAGGGTGCATAGGACGCGGCGCCCGTGACGCGAGAAGTGATGGGCGACAGCGAGATGGTGCGCGGCTTGTCGATGCCGAGGCGGTGCACCGTCGAAGATGCGCTGCCGCGACCGCCGCTGCCACCGAGGCCCTGCGGGTTGCCGACGGTGAAGCTGCGGCGCGTGTCGGCGTAGGGCCGCGAGGATCCCCGCACGGGGGCGGCCGAGGGCTTCCGCACCGGTCCGAGCGGTTGCTGGCTCGACGAACGGCCGATGGTCCGCTGCGATTCGGCCGTGCTGAGCTTCTCCATCGCGCTTTCCAGCTGGCCCATGCCGGTGTCGGCCGCGTTGCCGCTGGCCATGGCTGCAGGCTGCGCCACCCTCTGCCTTGCTAGCGGATCCGACACCGATCTGCGGCCCTCGCTCGCGGCTTCGCCGAGCAGCGAAGAGGCCCCCAGCGCGTCATCGCCTTGGAGAATGCCCGGCTCTTCGACATCCGCGGCGGCTGCCGGCTCGGTTCCAGCGTCCGAGTCGTCGTCGTCGTCGTCGTTGTCGCCAGCCGACTCCGACCCGTCGCCCCGTGCCTCGGCTTCGGCCTCTTCGCGCTCCGACTGCAGCTTGGCCTCCTTCATCTTGCGGTACTCGTCGAGCCAGTCGACCCATTCGATCTCCTTTGGACCGGCGAGGTGGGCGAATGCAGAGGGCAGGTCTGCGCCGTCGGCGTCAGACGGGCCGGAGAAGTCGCCATTCTGCGACTCGATGCTGGTGATCGAGTCGGCCTGCGATGGCCTGCGAGAAGGACCCGGAGTGCTCGGTGGGCCGACGGTGCGAGAGATGCCAATGGTTGTTCCACGACGCCCAAGCGCGATCGACGAGGCGGCCTCGAGCTCGGCCTGGCGCGCCGCACCGAACGAGCCCCAGTCCGGCATCGCGTCGGCCGCCACACGCTGCCCGGCAGAGGCGCCACCGGGACGATGCGAGTACGAAGAGGCCGGGGGCGACTTGGGATTCTGCGCCTTCCACTTTTGCATCTTGGCGTTCCTGCTCTGGATGATGATCCTGGCGTACTCGTCCGTGCCGGACATCTGCTGGTTCGACGACGCCAGTCGGACCGGGGTGAGCAGGTGGCTCTGCTCGGGCCTCATCGACCTGCTCGTCGAGGACGGCACGTCGAGAGCAGCGCCGGCGCCAATCGATCGGCTGAGCTTGATCGTCGCCGGGTCGTCGCGCACCGCCGCGAATCGAGAGTTCGGCGCCGCAACGTCCTGCGAGGATGCGATCCAGGGTGCAGGCCTCTCGGCGTTCCCCGGATCGGCAGATGGGTCGGGCAAGTCCGAAAGGCTGTCGAACAGCTCCTGTGCCCCCCACGAACGACGTGCGGCCCTGCTGGCTGACGGCGGAGCAGCCGGTCTCCTGGCAAAGCTCGAGGTGGGACTAAGCCGGCCGGAAGTGGAGAGCGAAGCGCTCGGCGAAAAGACGCCGGCACCGGCCGTTGAGTCGTGCGTCGATGACGAGGACTCGGAACCCGAGCGAAGGCTTGACCGCGAATAGACGGGCGAACGCGGGCCGAGCAGGGCAGAACTGGGAAGGCTGCCGGAGGGCTCGATCGACCGACCAGCAGGGATCGAGACGGTCAGCGGAGCGTCGCGGAGCTCTGGGCCAATCGCGGACGACTTGGTGCTCAGCCGACTCCGCTCCACCACCGGCGAGACTCGGCCCGAACTCGATGAGGAAGACTGGCCGCTGCGGCCGTGGCTGTGCTCCGACGCCAGCGGAGAGGTGCTGCGGCTGGTGGCCATAGGCGTCTGGGGCGGCACATGCAGTCGACTGGTGCTGCTGCCAGCGCTGCCAGCCTCGCTGTTTAGCCCGATGCCGAGACCGTGGTGTCCGCCAGGGCTGATGACGCCCTGTGAAGGAGGCTGCATCCCTCTCGGCGTCTGCCGCGCCGGCGAGGCGTCCTGAGACAGCGAGGACCGAGTGTGGGCCGGCGAGGTGGGCACGAAAAGGTCGCCCGCCAAGCGCACTGCCGTGGGCACCCTCTGCAGCCGGATAGCGTCGGCCAGTCCTGGGCCAGGCTTTTGCGAGCTGGGACCCAAGGATGCGCTGAGGCTCGACGACAGACCCGGGCTGGACGCAGCCGGATGAGCGCCGACGCCCATCGTCTGGCTGCGCACACGGGGCCTCACGTAGGTCGAAGAGGCCGAGGCCGAGGCCGAGGTGTCCATGGGAGGCGATGTCTCGAAGGGGGCGGGCGGCGACCTCGCCGAACCTTCGTCGTTGTCGATGTAGATTTGCGAGCCTGCAGCCCGTGCACGAGGCGACAAGGGCAAGGGGAGCGACGGCAGACGACAAGGAGAGGGAGCTCGAAAGATGAGTGCGCTGCTGCATGCCGAGGACTGCTCGCAGGGTCCTGGATCGCTGCTGAGCGACGGAGGCAACTCACCTCGTTTTCTAGAGTGCATACGGAGCGTGGCTGTCGGCGTGGATGGCATCGACGACGGGGCGACGATGCCGCCGGACGAGAGGGCCGAGGAAGACGTGGTGGAGCTCTGCGTGCCCGTCGATGCTGTGCTGGCGGATCGCTGGCTGTCGAGGCCGTAGCCGGGGAGCGGGATGGTCGAGCTGCCCGATTGAATAGCGGCGACGAGGTTGGGATCGACGCCATCCGGACCGCCGACGGGCGGGGCAGCCGATTCGCCGAGCAGCACGCCGCCGAGCGACCGTGCCCGCCGGTGGGCGCTCGTGGCCGCGCTCAGCGACGAGGCGGTGAGGCGTCGCCGTTGCCGGGCCGGCGTCTGACTAGATGCCTGGCCGCTGCCGGCCGCCGCGCCGGACTTGGGTACCGTCGATCCCCATGTCAGCAGCGGCGATGGTGGTTTGTACGACGAAGGAGCAAAGCTTCCGCTGCCGCTGCCGCTGCCGCTGCCAAACGAGCCGGACGAGAGGGGTGAAGGGTTCGACGGCATGCCTAGCCCGAGCAGATGGTCCTCCTTTCGTTTGCCCGCCGCCGCGGCCGAGATGGGACGGCCCCCGACCTCGTCGGCCTGCTCGGCGGCAGCAGAGGGGGCTACCGCTTCCAACACCCGCTTCGGAACAGCCGGCGGACCCATGGAGCCGGTCGAGCTGGCCACGGAGCTCTTGCGAGTCAACGACGAGGTCGGCACCGAAAAGACGCCGTCCGACGAGATGGACCCTGTGTCGTCGTCATCGTTGAACGAAGCCTGCCGCGTGTGCGCGGCCGAGCCCAGGCGCGAGGCTCCGGTGGCCGCTCGATGAAGCGAGAGGGAGCCGGATCGATCCTTGTCGACGGTTCGCGGGTGCGACGGCCGGAACGACTTGGTCGAGGAGGGCTCGCCTCTTCTCGCTGCGCTGCTCGAATTCGACCCTGACCGCGACAGGGTGTCGTGCCGCGTCTGGGCGGGACGCTTCTGCGTGGGGCCGTCGCCATCGTCGGCCTTTGCCTCGCCAAGGTCGCTGGCCTCGTCGGACTTCTCGTCCATGTCGCTGAGACCGGCGACGGGGGCTGTCCCGTCCTCGTTGTTGTCCTCGTCGTTTGAGAGGATCGAGGCAAAGGCGAGCGGGCTGGAGAAGGAAGGCGTGCTGTCGAACGACATTTTCCTGTTCTTGGCGCTGAGCAGGCTGTGCGGCGCCGCAGTGACCGGAGCTGAGCCTGCTGATGTTGCCGCCAGGTGCGCGTTTAGGCCGCCATGGGGCTGGTGGGGGGGCGGGCGGCTGGTGTGCGGAGGTTCGGCTGGACGGGCTGGGCTAGCGTGAGCGGGCCGGGGAGCGGCGTGGGCAGGCCGAGGGACGGATGCAACCGGATCGCGCGGCGGCGGCGAAGGGCTGGAGCCTGATCCGGCGCGAGGGTCGCGACGGTGGTCCCCGAGGTCCTCGAGGGTGAGGGTGCCGAGGCTGGCTCCCGCGCTGCTCTGAGACGGTGCGGCAGCGGCTTCAGCCGTAGATGGCGACGCTGGGGCGAGCTCGTTGCCGGGTGCAGGGCGTGCAGGGCGGCAGAGCGGATCGCAGGGCGCCTGGTCGGCGGTGAACGCGCTGTTGGTGCGCCGCTGCGGGGCTTGAGCGGCGAAGGGATCGATAAAGGGGCTGGATACTGTTGGAGATCCGAGCAGTCAGTCGTCGGCGGCGTGGTCGTCAGTCGGCGTTGGGTTTGCCGGGATCGATGGATGTGAAGGCAGGGACGAGGCCGAGACAGGATGAGGGCCGGAATGGAGGTGAAGATCGATGGCCGAACAGCGCAAGGTCGCGAGCGAACGAGGACGGCGGAATGTGCAGCCAGCGGTGGACGTCGAGGTCGTCGAGGTCGTCGAGTGCAGGCGCAGCGCGAGGTCGGATGTCGATGACGAGGCAGCAGTCAAAAGAGCGATGACGACGGCGACGACGAGAAGACGATGTGGCAGTTAGAAGGATCGAGTGTTGTGAAGGACGATGGGCAGTGCGGTGCAGAAGTCACGGCGGCGCCAGAGTCAAAAGGAGAAGATAGAGAGGTGGGTGAGGTTGAGATGAGGTGGGTGAGTGTAGCGCGTTTGTGGGCCGGCCAGAGGCAGGCGGAGCCGTGGCAGAGAGGTGTGGCAGCCACAAGACAAGCAAGCAGGCAGCCGCCAGGGTCGAGCAGCGCGGGCCAAAGGACGGGGCAGACAGCGCAGCCACCAAGCCAGCGGCAGGCCAGGCAGCGCACCCAAGGTCGAGTCGCCAGGCGGCCCAGCCAGCAGAAGAGAGGGACGGTGGTGTGAGGCCGGGTCGACGGCAAAGCAGCAGAGCAGGCAGGGCCGAAGTCAAAAAAAAGCGGATTTTCATGCGGCCGGTCGCATCCAAGCGAGCGGTTGCAGCAGAGCAGAGGCAGGCAGGCAGGGCGGGCAGCCAGCCAGAGAGGCAGGCAGCCACGTCGCCAGAGTGGTGCGGGGAAAGCGCGGGCAGTCGGGCAGTCGGGCAGTCGGTTGGTGGAGGTGGTCGGCAACACGGCCGATCGGGCGCAAGGGCGACGATGACGACGGCGAGATGGCCGTAGGTTCGGGGTAGTGGCGACGTGTTGGTGGCGGCAGCGAACAAGTCGACGACGAAGACGACGGTGGCGGCGTGGGGCGTACCGCAGAAAGCAGGCAGCGTCGATAGCGTGGCCGAGAGGCGGGTTATCATGCGCAACGAGCAACAGAGGGTCCCAAAGAGAGCGGTTAGGGAGAAGCAGAGGAGGGGGAGCAGCAGCACGGTCAGCGGGGATCGTAACTTCACAGCGTCCTCGAGAAGCCAAGACGGCCCCGACCTCTGACAGGTCCATCCTTTGTCGACCACTCGGCACGCCGCCTAGCGGTGGCCTGTCGTCCCTCCGACGGAGTCAAGAGGGCGAGCCGGATTCGCCTTCTGACAGCGCGAGCGGACGGCGGACCAGCAGGGATGCGCCAGCCAGCAAGCCAACTTGGCCAACAAGAGATCCATGGCATGGCCACGACTTCTCCTGCCACGCATGGGATCCTGGCGTCGGCTCTGCCTTCTCAACACGTTAGTCGCCAACGACTCCGCGCCGCATGGTGCGGCATCCCGCGCCGGATCACGAGCGACTGGACGACTCTTCGGCCACCGCCAAGTCGGCCTGCTGAGCAGGCGTCGGCCCCGACCTCTCCCCCCTTCCTCTCGCTCGCAAGCCCCGCATTCCGGGCCTCCTCGATGAAGGAAGACGAGACGGCACTCACCGAAGACGCTCTGGCGGCCAGTCAGGCCCGCCTTTGGAGTGGTGACGAGATCCTCCTCTTCGACGTCGGACAGGCTCGGCCGGCCTTCGCTCTCGTCAGCCAAAGCGGCCCATCTCCGCGACGCATCGGGTGCCGCGCCCACGGACGGCAGCGGTAGCAAGGACGAAGGCGCAGGCTGCCGCTTCTGTTCGCGGGAATCGTCGGTATCGTCGTGGCCCATGGTGCTGCGGGTGCCGCCTGGCTCGGCCTGCCCCTTGGACGCCATCGCGGGACCTCGCCGTCCCGTCCCGGATGTGGCTCGAACAGGCGCCGACGCAGGCACGCGCCCTCACCGACGGCTGCGTAATGGTGAGTGCTGGGCTGTGTAGCGAGGCGAGGTGTTGCTATCTGGACATCGGTCGGAGGCGAGCTGGACTTGAATGAGGCGGCGTCGGGTGCTGAATGTCGCCAGTGGTTGGTACAGGTTGCCGTGGCGAGCCGGCGCGTCGAGATGGCGGACGGGTAGGAGAGGGTAGGTAGTAGTGAGTGGTATCGAGATGTCTGATCCGTGGAAGAGTCTGCGAGCAGCAGAAGGGATGAGATGAGAAGATGGTGGTACCGGTCGAGGAGCATGCCCGTGTGGTGATGATGACAGCGACGGCAGACGACAGACGACAAAAGAGCGGTACCGGCGCCGGCCTGCGACGAACACCGGCCTAAAGGGCGACTCAGGACGATGAGCTCCGGGATTAGCAGCAGCGGCAGCCCCATGCCAGACAGAGAAGGCCATCGCTTCGAAGACGAGACGCCTCCGTGTGCGCCGGCACGCATACAAGGAGCCGCTTCGGCTACGTCGCTCTGGGCTCGCCTGCGCCAGCGCGGCCGCCCTTTGCCCGGCCGCCAGATGAACCATGTAACGCATCGAGGAGATCACCCGGCCTCTAGGGCCTGACGAGCAGGCAGCAGGTAGGCGCTGGAACATGCTACTGTACGAGGCCATTCGCACATGGCTGCGCCGTCGACTCCAATACAAATTCCGTGCCCGTCAAGCAGATCCCAAAGCAGCAGGGCGCTGGGCTAAGAGCGAGCGGCGGCGACAACCGGACGCCAGACCGGGCCACGCCGATTAAGACTTGCCAGCAGGGATCTGGACGTGGGCTTTCCCCGCCCCGCCAGGCCACGAAGCTGGCAGGAAGACCGGCCGTGACTTGGCGAGGCGGCCCTCGTCTGGCGGGATCGCTGTGGCTGCCCTCGTTTGACCTGCAGAACCGCAAGGGCCCCAGCCTCGCTGCCGTGAAGAGGTACCGTAGACGGGACGAGCCTTTGCGGATCCCAGCCTCGGTTGAGACGTGTGGCCGGTTGTGTGGGGTAACTGACCGGGTGCCGCGTGCTTCAGAGGGCTGAAGGCTCGAGACTGTGGTCAAGGGCCTCTCGACAAGAGTGCAGTCAACGAGTGCTCATGCCTCCTGTCTCTTAGCCTGTGCTCAGCCAGCAAGAGAGCTCCAAGCCTTCATGAGTGACCACAACCATCTGCAGTCTGGTAGCGGCTGTCAATGTGCTGACGAGAAAGTTGCTGCAGTGCAGCAAGGCTCAAGCAGGACTGGTAAGATAGCTGCAGCACTGCTTCAGCTGTTCTTGACCTGTTCTACTGTGGCAGAGAAGTGTGCAAGTGGGGAAACAAACAGGGACAGCTAGACAGATGGGAGATGATGTTTGCACATGCAGCCTGCATGTCAAGGAATATCCCAGTAGCCTCCCCCCTTGGGTTCTTCCTCCTTTTTCCCCTGCCCTCTCCCTTGCAGCTTGTACCAGTCTTGTACCATTCTTGTACCAGTCTTGTACCAGTCTTGTACCAGTCTTGTACCAGTCTTGTACCAGTCTTGTACCAGTCTTGTACCAGTCTTGTACCATTCTTGTACCAGTCTTGTACCATTCTTGTACCAGTCTTGTACCATTCTTGTACCAGTTTTGTACTTGGTACAAGTCTGTTACACTTTGGTACACACCCTGATGGGTATATATACAGGCCCTTCTGGCCTGCCCCTCTCCCCCTTCTCCTCAGGCAATTCACACCCATTCTCCTTCCCTCACCTCCTCCCTTCCCTCCTCCTCAAGACTGGCCAGTCACCATCTCTCTTCCCTCACCATCACCTGTCAGCCTCAACAGGTCAGGACTCCACCATCTGTCAAGGATTCCTTCAGACACACCAGCCTTTCTGTGTTGACATCTTGTCTTCCTCAAGGCCTTACCAGGACCTTAAAGGAATAAGCCCTGTACACCTCCTACCTTGGTCCAACCTGCCCCCCTCAACCTTTACACTGCATCAGCCTTGTTTACTTCAACAACTGATGCACTTGAGCCTCACCATGTGACACTGTCAAGTTTGCCCATTGGGCTGACCTTGGACATGCAGTACTTGTCCACAGCTGATGCTGAATGCCAACAGCTTGTTCTGCTGATGCCCTTCCAAGATGTATGATACATCAGGTGGCCATTGAAGACCAGTTGCTGCTAGCTATGAATGGACACGCTTGTGAGTGCGGCGTCTTGCTTAACCCCAACCCTAGACCTTGTGCCACGCGCGACGCTGTGGTGAGACGCGAGTTCATCGTCAAGTTGTCATCTCGGACCACACTTCTTGAACAATTTGGCATTCAAGAAGGCGGCGAGTGAGATTGCAGGATCTTCTTCTTTTGACGCTATTATCATGAAGGCGATGAAGTCGAAGGCATGGCGAGTGACCCGGTCCACTCGGTTTTGGCATTGCCAAACTTGGTCCTGAGGTTGCGCGCAAGGTGGTCCATGGACTGCTGGTCCTTGATGTAGGCTGACAGACGCAGCTTGTGGTGTAGTGGAACATCTGATGCAAAGGTCAGGGTTGCCAAGTAGTGCTGAACAAGTACTGCCTTGATGGCCCCCAGCATCATCAGCCACTCCTTGCACCACTCAAGGAAGACTGACTTCTTCAAGCAGGCAGCACAGACATTGTGTGGAAGGGAAAAGCAACATGGCTGAGCCAGTTTGGAGGAAGGGGGTAGGGACCATCAAGGATGCAGGAGCATGATGGTCTTACATGATCGATCAACAAGTCTTCAAGGATGCCTGTGCAGGGACAATGGCTTGTCATCAAATCAGCATGCTGCTTGACAACTTCTCACCGCACTCGCATCTCACCAGAACGTCGCGCCTGGCACGACATTATCGACACTCACCTTCCTCGATACACCGAACTGACGGGTTTTGAGCGCGTCGCATTTGACAGCGGTGTTGACAGCTGTGCGGCCTACGCCGCCATGGAGATGTTCACCGCGTGGCGCAACAACATCGCTATCCACGTCGCCAGTCATTTCAAGAAGTACTGCAAGAGCCGCGCTGATCCTGCCTGCTTCTGAGGCAGGGCCGTAAAGCGCCGCCTCACACGCTTTGTCAACTCACTTGTCCACAACAACCTCCTTGAGATAGACAAGTTGTCAGCAGAGGAAGATTCATATGGATGAATGAGTGCTTGAAGGTGGACCTCTGTTGATGTTGTCTTGTTATTGCACCCTCATGTTGCACAAACAGTGCAGCTGTCGCATGCTTGTCAACAAGTGTCTTGGCAGTGACACTGCCCTAACAGGCTGCAAATGTATTCCCCTTTGATGTCCTTGATGACCAGTGCTCCCAATGGGCTGCTGCTGCAGCCTTCGGTCTTGAGGCAGAGCAGTGGACCAGCATTTCTGTCACTGCAGCAGCAGACTGATGCGCAGCTGTACTCGACCTGAAGGCTGCAACAGGGGCCGGGAAAGATGCCGAAGCTCAGCCGAGGGCTCCTGTCCGCCACCTGCCGCTTCGACCAAGCCATCTCTCACTTTCCTCACTGATACCGTTTGGTCGTAGTCCTCTGGCATGTTCATCGTGCTTATCTGTCACCGGAGAGGAGCGATAAGGCCTTGGACGGTCTCGGAAGGTGACAGTCTGCTCGCTGCGCCGGATATCCAGGGCCAGCGCCATCTCGGTCGTGGACGACGACGACGACAATGGGTGAAGCCGGCATGCAACCCACCTGACCCAAGCTGCTCCTCAGCTCGGTTGCCAGTGGGCGGGGCAGGATGTCGCTCATCCACCTCTCCGCTCCCCGCACTTGTCGCTGCTGCTTATCTCGGGGTGGCCAAGGCGCTACCTGGCCACGAGGCAGGGGCTTGGTCGCCGAAGCAGCCTTCCTCTCTTTCGATCTGTACTTAAGCTGCTGGCCTGCCGCCTCGTCGTCGCTCCATCACCCGCCACTACTCTGCCCTGCTCGACCACGCAAAGACCCTAGATTCAACGCCACCCTGCACACCTACGACGACCTCGGCCATTCACAGCCTGCTACGTGACGGACAAGCCAACCAGCATGGACGCCCAGCCTCTTGCCCACAAGTCCACGACCCGTTTGGCGGCCGGCCCGTACCACGGCCATCCACTCGACCCTCCCACCGCCCAGGAGGTGAGCATGGAGGGCACCGTGGACTGGAAGGATTCTTGACAGACCCGCTGAGGCTGCCTTCCCTCGCCCATCCCCCTTCAGATCACCGCCACCACCTCGACCTTCCGCGTCTGGCTCGCCGAGCATGGCGTCAAGGCCTTCAAGATCGTCACGGTCCTCCTCAAGGAACCGCCCAAGGCCTCGGTCATCGCCGCCGTTGGATGGCCCGGAGGCTACCCGGCTGTGCCCAATCCACCGGCTCTAGAGCGCGTCATGGAGGTTCACGCCATCGACGTCGTCAAGGGCGAGGCCTACGAGGCCCTCGTCCGCCTCGACGGGCCCGAGCCCCAGGTCAAAGACGTCCGGAAGCTCGACAAGGGCGTCCAGCCCAGCATCACGCCAGAGGAGCTCTGCCTCGCCGAAAAGAAGATCCGGAAGGACGAGCGCGTCGTCAAGCTGGCCGCCGAGGTCGGCATCGAACCCGAGCAGATCTTTGCAGAGTGAGTCGGGAAAGATTGGGCCCCAGGTACGTCCCACGTCCTCTGCGCTTGGCTGACGCTTCGACAATGGACCGCCTCCGATGCCGCAGCGGCTGGACCATTGGCTGGGACAAGCGCTTTGGAGACCGGCGCGTCCAGCAGTGTTTGCTCTACGCCCGCCTCAATGAGCACGACAATCTCTACGCGCACCCGCTCGACTTCCAGCCCATCCTCGACTGCAACAGCGACGGCGGCGTCATCGCCATCGACTTCCCACAGCACCGCAATACGCCCGATGGCAAGCTGTCAAGCGGAACCACGGCGCCGCCGGAGAGCATCTCGTTCGAGGCGCCCGCGTCGCGTCAGAGGATCCCACCGCCGCTCGAGCCATTCGAGTACCTCCCGGACCTGAGCAAGCAGGAGATGCGCACCGACCTCAAACCGATTCACGTCACCCAGCCGCAGGGCGTCAGCTTCAAGCGAAGTGGGAACGTGCTCGAATGGTCCAACTACAAGCTCCACGTAGGCTTCAGCCCACGCGAGGGCATCGTGCTCTCGACTATCTCGTACATGGACGCCGATCGACCGGGCGCGTCGATCGCACAGCCAGAGGAGCGACCCATCATCTACAAGATGACCCTGGGCGACATGGTGGTGCCCTACGGCGAACCGGCCTGGCCCCACTACCGCAAGTTTGCCTTCGACGTGTCCGAGTACTCGATCGGCTACCTGGCCAACTCGCTCTCGCTCGGCTGCGACTGCCTGGGCTCGATCGAGTACATGGACGGCATCGTGGCCAAGCACGACGGCTCGGCCGAGGTCATCAAGAACGCCATCTGCATCCACGAGGAGGACACGGGCCTGCTGTGGAAGCACACCGACTACCGCGAGGGCGGGCGGGCCCACGCGGTGCGCGGCCGCAAGCTCGTCATCTCGATGATCTGCACCGTGGCCAACTACGAGTACGGCATCTACTGGAACCTGCACACCGACGGCAACATCGAGTGCGAAATCAAGCTGACGGGCATCCTCAACCTCTACGTGCTGGGTCAGGGCGAGCGCCCGGCGGGCTTCGGCACCGAGGTCATGCCCCGCGTCAACGCCCACTACCACCAGCACCTCTTCTCCCTCTACGTCGACCCGCACATTGACGGTCCCAACAACAGCGTCGTCGAGCAGTCGATCGAGGCGCTGCCGGAGCCGACGGGCTCGAACGAAAACTTTGCGGGCAATGGGTTCACCGCCAAGAAGCGCGTGCTGCGCACGTCGAAGGAGGCGGTGCGCGACGCGTGCGCCAGCGAGGAGAGGAGCTGGACGTTCATCAACCCGAGCCAGCACCACTATGCCAGCGGGCAGCCGGTGGGCTACAAGGTCGTCTGCCCCAACCTGCCTCCGATGTACGCCAAGCAGGACTCATTTGTCGCCCGGCGGGCTCCCTTTGCCAAGCACCACTTCTGGACGATCCCCTACGCCGAGGGCCGCCGCTATCCGGCGGGCAAGTACGTGCCGCAGACGCCCGACGCTCCCGACGACTCGCTCCAGAACTGGGCCAACGAGGACGGCAACATCGCCGACACGGACCTCGTCTCGTTCATCACGTTTGGCACGACGCATATCCCGCGCCCTGAAGATGCGCCTGTGATGCCAGCAGAGACGGTGCGGTGCATCCTCAAGCCCGTCGGCTTCTTCCGTCAGAACCCGGCGTTGACGATCCCCAGCACCCAGGACGCCAAGTCGGTCGCGGCCCAAGCGGCGGCGTCGGCTGGATCCGATGACTGCTGCCAGAAGGGGAGGCTCTAATGTCGCTCCGTCCGGCCATGACGCCTCGTCAGACTCGGTCGAATGCTATGCGACGTCGAGGCCGTGCCGTGGTGTGAGTGCGGGCGCCCTCTTTGTCGGACGAAACAGAAGCGGGCCCGGATTTGTATTGAGGCTCTCGTCGTGTGAGGCAGGTCGAATAGAACCAGTTTCAAATTCAAGGCCCGTATGATTTTGAAATCGGGCCGGGCGAAAAGAAAAAATGCGCCCGGGGAGCGAGGGCAGGCCACAGCAAGCAAGCAAGCAAGCTGACAACGGCCGGGGCCTGGGCAATCAGAAGAACCGGCTCCATCGCACTCCACCATCTCGCCGCCCTCACCACCTCCCAACCTCCTCTTCCACGTTCGCCTCCGCCACAACAACAACGACGACGACGACGACGATGCTGTCGCGATCCGCCGCTTCGGCGCTTCCATCCACCTGCCAGGTCCTCGCCGGCTCGGCGACGACGGCGGTGGCTAAGCGCACCTTTTCCGTCTGCGCCGCGCGGTGCAACAGCAACGATGACGCCTCGTCCTCCTCGACATCTGCGCCGCGCTCGCAACAACCAGCGACCTCTGGCTCGACAAACGACAACGGCGCCGTTGCTTCCTCTTCCTCTACCGCCGCCTCCTCTTCCTCCTCGACCGGCGTCTCGTCTCCTTCGACAACGACATCAGAAGCGGCGACGCCAAGAGCCAAGCGGACCATCCCGGCGTCCTCGCCCATCCTCGACAAGGTGCTGCCGCTCTCCTTCCCGAGCCGGACGTTGCGCTCCTTTCCCTCGCTGCTCCAGTTCTCCGACCCCATCCTTGACCCGCATCCTTCCAACGTCTTCCGCGCCGCGCCCACCAGCCGCACGCCCTACCCGTCCAGCGTGACGTTCTACAACGATCCGCAGTACTACGAGCCCACGCCGCCCAACGCCGAGTCGCTGGTCCTGTCTGGCGGCTCCGACTCGGACGAGGTCAACTCGGAGCAGTACCTCTCGACCGTCACGCCGCTCTCGGTGCAGGAGATCCGCAACCTCCACCGCCATGCCATCGTCCTCAAGCGTGTCGTCCACATGACCACCAAGGGCAAGGACGCCAGCATGTACGCTCTCGTCATCGCCGGCAACGGCAACGGCCTCGTCGGCTACGGCGAGGGCAAGGACGTCGACTCGTCAAAGGCCGGCCGCAAGGCCTTCCACCAGGCCGTCAAGAACCTCGACAGCGTCGCCATCCACGTCGGCAGCGATGGCTCCCGCACCGTCGAGACCCAGCTCGAGGCCAAGTGGGGCGCATCGACCGTCGTCCTCCGGCCCCGGCCTGCAGGTGAGTCCGACATTGCCGACGGCTGCCGCTTCGTGTTCGCCCTCGGGCGTGGGTCGGGTTCGGGGACCACGCTGACCCCGCGCTTGTCTTCTTCACGCCCCCGATCCCCCCTCCGACAGGTTTTGGTCTGCGTGTGCCTCCCGTCATCCACGCCCTCTGCCGCTCTGCGGGCATCTCGGACCTGAGCGCCAAGATCTACGGCTCGACCAACCCTATCAACGTCGTCAAGGCGGCGCTTCAGATCTTGTGGGGCGGAGCGGCTCCTCTCGGCCTTGGCGGCGTCAAGGAAGGTACCATGAGGCGGAAGGACAAGGGCCAGGGTATGCGCGGGCGCGTCGACATCGAGCGGAGTCGCGGCAGGAGGATCGAAGAGATTCGCCTCGATGGTCGCAAGTAGAGAAAATTGGCCGCAGCAGGCGGTTGTCAGGCGGACGCCATCGTCTTTGCAAGCTCCTCCACGCCCCTGTGATCCCTCCGGCCGTGTTTGCCGCCTCGAGCTCGACCGTCTGATCGAGAGGGGCGCTAGAAGATGAAGCCCGCCGCGTCGCGAGGATTCATTCGATGCTAGAGAGGCAGGAAAGCAACTGGGAGATTAGGCACAAAGATGGGGATATGAGGATAGAGATGGAGCTGGAACGCCGCAAGAGCGCCGGCTACGCAGGCGGCCACTAGCAATTCACGGCGCCTTGTCGAGAGGGCGCGATCGAGATAGAGCGCTAGGCCCGGTGGCGTGCGCATCGAACGGACAGAGACGAGAGGTGGTCCCGGCCGTCAACAGCTGGGCGAGCCGCCTAGGACTTCACCACCTTATCCTTTGCAGTCGATCCGGGCGCGGAAGCCAACTGCCGGTCAGCGGATCGCAGCTGCCTCGATCCAGATCGCGAGCGTTCAGGATGATGCCGACTCACAAGAAGGCGGTGCATGATGATCTTGTCGCCATCTCTCTTCGTATAGGCGATGCTCACGGCGGGATCGCCCTTGTGGTTCTCTGCAGCTCTCAACAATTCCGGGCAGAGCGGCAGCAAAGTCAGGCAGCCGTCGAATGGACGGCATACAAGCGCCGCGTCCGACGCGACTCACTGTGGAAGCCCTGGACGATGCCCTCCTCTGCCCCTCGACCGACGTTGAACAGGACTGATGGCGACGGACCCCGGATCGAGGGCGCCAGAGAAACAGGGGCGGTCGAGCGAGGGCTTCAGCGAGCGCTACGACGTCGAGGCAGACGGTCGAGATGGCCGCTGCGCTCGATGTGCAGTGCCCAACCCACCCCTGTCGCCGACTGAGGCGGGATGACGACGGTGACGACGACAGGGCAGTGCGATGGCGTGTCAGTCTCGATCCGAGGCTCCGACGCGACGGGAGCCGGGCCCCTGCGCCCAGCACCTACCATTGAGCGTCATCGTGGCTGGTCACTGCTAGAAGCCGCGGCTACGCAGAGGGAGAAGGAGGGTGGGCCGTCCTCGAGCGACGACGACGATAGAAGGCGTCGATGATGATGCTCTTAGGAAGCGGGGAGGGGCGGTGTCTTCTGTGGATCTTGCTCAAGGGCTGTGAGGGTGCAATGCTTGCGCTTGGCTACGACCAGAGACGAGGGGTTTGACGTTTGAGCGAGGGAGAAGAGGGGGCGACGATGGTGGAAGAGAGGCAGGACGGGGCCCGCCAGCCCTTTTTGAACGCGCAGACGAGGAGAGCCGGCGGGTCAGCAGCTCAGCTTTCGGCCCCCTTCTGCTCGTCCTCTGCGCTTGCCCTGCCCGGCCCTGCCCTCCCTTCGCGCGAGCTCCACGGCTCGAGGGTAAGCGGCATGCGTGCACCCAAGCGCGGCTGGGCCAGGCGAGAGCGCCAGCCAGGGTGGGTCAGGTAACTGGCCTCGCGCTCCCCAGCCTTCAGTCCCCTTTCACGCGGCTTCGGTCCTCGCCGAGACCGAGCGCGGGCCATCCATCGGACCAGCAACACCGCCCCACGCCCTCGAACTTGGCCAACAGATCGATCGAGAGAAAGGCCGGGAAGACAAGCGAGCCAGCCAAGCCGACCCACTCTGAGCTCGGGCGATCAGACGTGAGAGGCCCAGCAGGGCAGGCGGACGGGCGCGCGTGTGACCTCATCGAGGCCGTTCGTTGGCCAGCAGCGCTGCTTGCTGGCTGGCTTGGGCACGGCCAGGCTCCGCCACCTTCGGCCCAGCCCGACAGAGCTCGAGCGGTTCCATGTCGGTGTGTCCGTGCGCGGTGGGGCAGGTTGGGCGTGCGTGCGTCTTGCTCCGCCTGGCCCCAAAAAACCCGGAGGTCCAAAAGCGAGGTCGCGCGCAGCTCGACAGCAAGCGTGGACCGACCCCGACTGGCCGGCCATCCCGCCAGCCAGCCACCCAACGCTGGAGTGAATCAGCGAGCCAGAAAGCAACACCTACCGACCGACCGGCTCGAGCCCGGTCAGACGCGCGCTCGCACGCTGGGATGCCTCCCCAGCAGGTCAGAGGTGAAAGGCAGGCTGGCCGCGATAAGGAGCAGCGCAGCGGAAGCAGCCGGTGGGACCGCCGCCTGCCTGCCCGTGCGTCCTGCTTGGGCCACCCGTCCTCGATGGACCTGGCCCTGCGTGCTTGGGCTCACAGCCTCGACGAGGCAAGGCAAGCCGAGGCGGGCTCGAGGCCAGCAGCCAGCCTGCTCACCTGGTGCGTGCGTCGAGAGGGACAGCAGCGGCGGCTGAGCGTGTGCCGTTCGCCACCCCCTTTTAAACGCGTCGAGGCCTGGCTTCCCCTCCTCCCTCCCTTTCCCTCGCTTTCCCCTCTCTCCCTTCATCCGTCGCAACCGCCTCTCCGCCGCTCCTCTGCGCATGTTTTCAAGCTCCTTCAACCTCTCTTACTCGCTCCGCTACGCAAGCCTTTCCACGCCGAGCCACAAGGAAACCTTTCTCGCCTCGTCAACCTCGATCGACATGAGCTCCACCGAGACCTTCCGAGGTGAGTGGCGGCGGATGCTGTCCCCATTCTCGGTTCCGGAGCGGGTGCTTGTTCGTCGATGATGATGGCAGAGGATCGCGATCGACTGACGCACCTTTGCTACCGCCTCTCTTCCTCGCCGACACCTCTCTTGCTCGCCATCGCACAGTCGGCGACAGGGGTAAGCAGAGGATCGTCGCCACCGCCGCGCGACGACACCGACTGCACCAAGCCTTGCATGCAGCCCTTGATGCGCAGAACATTCGGTGGTCCGCGTCGCCGTCGCCATCGCTGACATCGACACGGCCCTCCATGCTATCGCTCGTCGCCATCACGACGCACGCCTGTGACGCGTCGCGCACGCAGTGCTGTTCAGCATTGGCCAGCACGAAGAGGAGGGTGTCATCGAATCCTTCACCGAGAACACCAGCCACGAGCGTGAGTACGCCGCCTGACAAGGTCGCCCAACCGTTGCGTGAGGCGCTGTGTGGCCCAGGCTTCGAGGGAGGTTGACGTCGTCCCGCGCCGTGGCTCTGATGATCCTGCTCCTTGCCGTGCTGCAACGCGGGCGCGACGCAGAGGTCGCCATCATTGGCTACATCAAAAAGTCGGACGCGAAGCCCACCTCGATCCACCGCAAGGTCGATGGCCTGACCAAGATTCGCAAGTGAGCGCGTCGCCACAGACGCCGGAGGTGATGTGTCCATAGGGCCGGGCGAATCTCTCCCTCGATTCCGCCCCTGCTCGGACCCTTCACCTCGTCAGCACCGCAGAGTGTCTCTTCCTCGTACCGTTGTGTCTCTCGTCGGCCAGTGCCTCTCTCTCGACACCCGCCCACCGCCTCGTGCTGCCGTCGGACACACCTCGAAGCCGTGCCCCTGTCAGCTCCGCAGCAGCCAATCAATCACTGTCTCTCGTCCGCGTTGCAGAGTATCGCATTGATGCCGGCGTGTATGTGTGAAGGGGAAGCTGCGTCGAGACCAGGCGCCCTCGCGATACGAGACGAATGGCTCTCATGACCCCGTCCGAGTGCGGATGGGTTCGCAATCGTCGCTTGGCTGCGCATGGTGGCGCCTCAGAGTCCGTCATCGCTCTGCTCGGCCGCAACCTCGTGCAACTCGATGACTGCGCGGGCCCGCGGATGTAGAGGGGCAGAGAAGCAGACGCGGCGGTCAGCGGCAGCGCAGGGCCAGGACGCCGTCGCAGTGGCCGGGTGCAGCGGGCACGGGGCGACTCACGGTACTCGTTGAAGTCCTGTCTCGAGATCTCGCCATCGACGCCAGACTTCCTGGCGATGGTGCCGGCACCCTTTTGCGCGACGGCCGGACCGAGCCCGGGCGTTGCGGGCGCTGCCTGCTGCTGCTGCTGCTGGCCGGGCAGTACGGGTGGCGGATTGTCGAGGCCGAGCATGAGGAGCAGTGCGGCCTTGTACACGTCGAAGCCCTGCTTGTGCTCGTCGGGCGTCTGGCGGATGGCGGCGAAAAAGGCCTGGGGCGAGTCGCAGCTGAGGAGCTCCCAGAACTTGCGGCATCGCTCAAAGCTCACCTCGAGCGGCATCTCGACAATGTTTTTCAGGTTCTGCTGCAGCGCCAGGATGTTGCGGATCATCTTGGTCACGCCGGCGCGGTTAATGGCGCGCAGGTGCTGCACCGACTGGATCAGCAACGCCGACATGAGCGACGAGAGGCCCGTAAAGACGAAGCGGCGGTTGTCGGGCGTCAGCGTGTCGGAGAAGATGTCGTCGAGGTGGGCCATTTCGGCGTTGAGGTCGACGACGTGGGGCGACGGCTCGATGGCCGTGTCGTCGTTGAGGACGTAGTTGCCCTCGGAGACGGCCTGGCCGAGGTGGTAGAGGACGCGGACGCGCAGCTCGATGCGCAGCGTGAAGAGGATGACGTTTGACAGGTGGCGGTAGACGTTGGGCAGCGCCTCGTACCGCGCCGCCATGTCCTTGCTGAGCGGCAGCTTGAGCTCCTCGGCGGCCGCCTCGTCGGTGCGCGGCACCGAGTCGATGACCGACAGCCGCGCCTGTGGCCGCTTGGCGCGCGGCACGTCCTCGTCGGCCGCCTTGAGGCGCGAGAGGTTGCTGAGGAACCACTGCAGGCTGTGCTGCAGGTGGCCGAGGGCGAGGAGCTTCTTGCGCGACGTCGTCATGTCGTGGAAGCCGATCGGCGGGCCGCTGCGCGCCAGCGCCATCTCGAAGCGGTTCTCCTGAGCCTGCAGCTCCGACAGCCTGTCGGCCTCGACCTTGGCGGGCTGCAGCATGTCGACGAGGCAGGAGTAGAGCTCCGGCCGCTGCGCCCAAGCGGCCGAAAGCGTGTAGCTGGACCCGTCACGTGCGCCGGCCGAGGTCGCGGAGGAGGAAGACGTGGCGGACGGGATCGAAGCCGAAGAGGCGTCGACCGCGACGAGATCCCTGAAGCGCTCCCCGCACCTCTGATAGTACTGGACGATCGTGGTGATGATGAGGCGCGAGTACGACTCGCGATGGAACGGCGTGGTCCGCAGCATCGAATAGAGGCTGTCGATCAGCACGATGATGTTGGTCACCGACTTGACGACGGGCCGGGTCGCTGTGCGGCGCGAGGCGGGATCCTCCTGGAAGGCGTCGGCGCCGCCCGTCGCGTTCTGGAAGAGCGACTGGACCTTGTCCTCGAGCTGCGGCAGGAAGACGTCCTGGACGAACTCTTCGAGGAACGCGCTGAAGCCGCGCGACGTCTCGCCCGCCGCCTCGCTCGGCAGCACCGCCTGGACCCGCTCGATAAAGGCCAGCGCAGGCTGGAAGAGGACCGATACGTTGAACGCGTCCGGTTTGACCAACAGCCGATGTCCACCTCCGGCGTAGCTCTCGTCCTGCCTGGTAGACGAGACGATGGTCTGGTTGGCGCGGGCCGGAGCGGCACTTGCGCCTCCGCCGATGGTGCTGCCGGCGGCGTTGGCCGCGTCCAGCGAGCTGACAAGCCCGGGCACCGAAGCTCGAAGCGCCGCCGTCAGCGCGTCTTCGTGCCGCCGCAGCACGCCACTCTGCCGCTTGCCCGTCTTGAGGCCTGAGTCGGTCAGCTTAAAGAGCTGCTTGCTCCGATCCCGCCCGAAGCGGCCGCTGCGGAGCACGTCGTTGACCGAGACGATGGCGTTGCGGCTCGACGACGACTGCTCGTCATCCATGAGGTAGTCGTGAAGCAGGGTGCGCACCTCGGTCTGGATCGGCTTCCAGACCTCGACCAGCGATGCCACGCCGGACACCCTCTTCGAAGCCAGCTCGTCCTTGAAGCCGGACCGGCCCGCAATCATCCCAGCCACCTCGTAGACCACACGATGACCCTGGAGCACCGCGTCCAGCTTCGAGAAGAGCGTCCAGAACAGATCCCGCATCGTCTCGCCCTCGCGCTGCAGCGCCGACGACTCGCCGGCCGAGATCCGCAACATGCTCGAAACGGGGCGGTTGCCCATGTTGAAGGATGACCGCGACGCGCGGAACGACTCCGAGAATGACTTGGCCAGCGCCGACGACGAGGCAAGCAGCACCGATTCGGGCCGGAGAGCCACCGAGAAGCGCCGCATCGGCTCGTTGCGCGCGTCGACCTCGTCGATCGTAGCGTCGACGAGCTGGTGGACTTCGATGGGCAACCTCTGACTGACGGTGTCGAGCGCCGTGCCCAGCTTGCCCAGCCTCGCCAGACTCTCGAGCAGCATCTCGATGTAGAGGAAGCTATCGGCTTCCGGGTTCTGATCGAACTCGGCCGCACCGACATCGACGCCGAAGCTGTCGCCCGCCACCTTGACGTTGCTGTCGACGCTGTAGGACGACGGCATCCCCAGCCCGTTGGCGCCCGTAGCGATCTCGCCCGTCAGCGCCGAGAGTGACGCGCTGGCCGTAAGTCCGACATCCTGGATGTTGGATGCCAGGTTCGGGTCGAAGGCCGGCCGTGCGCCAAGCGTCTGCAGATAGCGGCTCAGCTTGAGCGGTCTCTTGCTCTGACCGTCCTGACCGGAGCCATCCAGGTTGGGGGATGGCTGCTCGCTGTGGTCGCCGTCCGTGCCGCGAGCGGTGGAGTAGGCGACGCCAAAGTCGACGGCGGGCAGCGCCTCCTGGCCCACCGCGTAACTCTTCCACCGCGCGTCGCAAAAGTAGCTCTTGAGGTACAGGTGGTTGTGGAGCTCCTCGATCAGGATCTCGAGCATGGCCTGCTCCTGGCCCTTGAGATACGCCCGCAGGTCCGACGTTGCCCCGACCTCGACAATTTCGGGCTTGTCGATCGTCTTGAGCGACCGCACCAGTAGGTTGACGGCCTGCAGGAAGCGCTTCTCGGCCATGAGATTCTCGAGCCGGTCCGGGACGCCCTTGAGGTGTTCGACGACGTCCAGGAGGCGCAGCGACTCCTTGACCGCCTGAGAACGCTGCCACATCTGCACGAGGTCCGCACGCTTCGCTCCGAGCGCCTCGCGAGAGTCCCTGAGCCGCCGCCTTGCGCCCGACACGCTGTTCTGTGCCGCCGTCAGCGCCAGCAGGACGCTGTTGTGGAGGGTGATGGCCGTGGCAAAGGACTCGTAGTGGTCTGCAGGGTGTTCGCGGGTTTGATCGGCGGGGGTTCGAGGTTGTCAGAGAGGACTCGAGCGCTGTCCTGAGACCGGGACGAATCCGGGCAACTCACCATCCACGGTGCCCTGCAGCGACGTCTCTATGAGCCCCTTCATGCTCTCAAAGTCGTGCCGGCTGGCCCCAAGCGAGCTCTCGTCGAGCATGGACAGCGCCAGCGCGACCGAGTTGAAGTCGTCGTCGGCCACAAAGGGCCATTCGGCCTTGACCTTGCGCAGCACCGCGTTGATATCTTGGAAGCCCCGTTCGTCGCTGTGCTTGACATAGTCGCCGAGGGGCCTCCTCTCTGCCGCCTGTACGTCCGAGATCTTCTTCTCAGTCTTCCTCCTCCGCGTCTCCTCCTCTGCCGTGGTGCCCCGCATGATCCTCGCTGCCTGGTGCTTGCGTCCCGCGGCGCTGAGAGCGGCGAGCACGGTACCGAGGGCGGCCGGCTCGTCGGCGTGCGTGAGGGATCCCAGCGGTGCGCCAGACTGCCGTTTGGTCGCTGCGGGCGTGGCGCCGTTGTTGCCGCCAGGTACCGAGAGACGATTGCCGCTGCCGCCGCCGTTGGATCCAAAGAAGCCGTTCTCGGGAGGGTCGATCGGGGAAATGCCGCCGTAGATGTCGTCTTCGTCGCCGGAAGAGATGCCGCCGTCGCGATCGTTGGCGGACAGGGCGACCTGAGCCATCAACTGGGCCGATCGAGCGTGTCGGTCGGCCGGCTGGTGGTGTTGCTGTAGTGGGTGGGCCGACTGGACGGAGGTCGGTGGGGGCAGCTGCTGTTGGCTCCGGCTTGCGCTAAGGAGGTCGCGGCCAGGACCGGCGTGCGGCCTAGTGGCTGATGTGGGGGGCGGCGACGGCTGCTGCTGCTGCTGCTGCGACATGGCCGCGTCCACGCCAGGGATGATGCGCAACGACGGCCGTGCCAGCGTGCTGCTGCGTTCCAGCCCATCCACTGCTGGCGCCTGCTGGGGCCGCCGCACGGACCGTGCCGGACGGAGCGGCGAAGAGGGTCGTCCTATGGCGCTTGCGGCGGCGGCCGCCGACGTGTGGTTCATCAGAGCAAAGCTGGCCGTCGATTGGTTGGTGGGGCTTCCGGCGCGAGGGATGCCGACGAGCGGGTAGCCTTGGGGCGTCTCGGAGTAGCCGCCGCCGTAGCCCGTCTTGCCATCGATCTGCGAGATGGAGTCGGACGGTGCCAGGCTGACAAACGACGGCCCAGCGCCGACGTTGCTGGGCGCCTGCCTCGTGTGGCCGTTGCCGCTGACGTTGGCGCTGCCATGGATGGTCGGGTTAAAGACATCGGCGACGTGGTGAGCGGTGCCCGATCCTAGGCTGGTGTTTTCGTGCTTGATTCGCGAACGTAGATCCTTGATTGTATTGTGGCGGGACATGGTGGGTAGCGGCCGGGAGGTTGATAGGCATGCATCAAGGACCGGGTCCATGGAGATGCGCTTTCGGCAACGGTCCGAGGCCCAAGGTGGGTGGGTGAGCGCCCGAGCCCTCGACTAGCCTACCGTGGCCCTGAGCTCGGCTGGTCGAGAGCAATACGGGTTGAGCCCGGCCAGCGACGGCGGTTTGGGCGAGGGCGGTCAAGAACGGAAGTGGCGCGGTTCTTCGGGCAGCGGCGATGTAGCAGCTGGAGCGTAGGCAGGAGGGCTGGTATGTCGAGAGCGTGGGAAGTGGAACAGCAAGCAAGCAAACATGCTGCAAGCCAGGGTAGGATGGGGCTCCTTGCGCATGTGGCCGGGTCTCGGAGGGTGGTCCGACCGCCAACCGTCCGTCTGCCGGCGGAGCCGAGCGCGTCCGGCAGGGTCCGCCGCTGCCCTACTCTTGGTTGGCTGGAAGATCCTTGCCTGCTTGCAGCTTGACAGGAAACGACGACGACGACGACTTCGACGAAGGACAGCAGGCCAACTTCTGCTCGACATGGAAACAGGTACTCCGGCAGGCGGTAGCGGTGCCGCCCCAGATCCCAACTTTCCACAGGGCCTGTGGATCCAGCCGAGCAGCAGCAAGCACAGGCAAGCCCGCGCTTCGACGACGAGGGACCTGGCAGCATCAGCCGCAGCGACCAGGTGGGACGAGGACAGCCAGCACGACATCGATCAGTACGGGATAGCTGGGAGAATATGGTGAGTGCTGGCATGCTGCTGGCTTCCAGAGGGCAGCTGGTGAGCTGTCCTTTCGAGCGCTCTACAGTCGGCTGACCTGCTTCCCTTGCCACATCTGCAACGACCAGGGAAGCCGCATACCTGATGGCCGTCTACCTGCGCCCGCCTTTGCACTCCGCCCTGGTATTCGATCCTCCGTGCTCTGCATTCTTGGCCAGCGAGCGCCCTGACGAAGCAACAGCATCATCCCCTCGCGACGAGGCAGGCCCTTCTCGAATCGTCGCCGTCGAGCTCGGGTCTGGAGCCGGCTTCGGAGGTCTCCACTTTGCGCAGCAGCTCTGCCATCATCGCATCAGCTCAAAGGGGGACCGTACCAACAGCCCGGAAGAGGCGACGGCGTACCCAGATACAGTCATCCTGACCGACTTGCCCAACGTCGTCCCCTTGATGGAGCGCAACGCCGCCGCAGCGGGTCTCTTGCAGTCTACGACATCGCCCGACGAGTCTGCAACGGGACAGTCAGTCCATGTGCTTGTCCGTCCGCTAGCTTGGGGCGATCGGCGGCATGCGCAAACGGTTCTCAGCGAGCTCTCGTTGGCAACAAGCACGCAAGCGCGACGGCCGGCGCACCCGTTGACCCACGTCCTATGCTCGGATCTCGTCTACTTCCCCGAGCTGCTTCCGCCGCTGCTTCGTTCCCTGATCGACCTCACGGATCCAGCGACAGGCGGGAATGGCGGGATCACGACACCGACATCGTCGCCGGAGGTTATCATTTCGTACAAGATCCGCTCGCTGGTCAAGGAGCAGCCGTTTTGGTCCGCGTTCGGCTCGTGGTTCGACTATCAGGTGGTCGACTGCCATCGCAGGTCGCCGGAGGCTTCTGGATCAAAGGACGACAGTGCAAGGGTGGATCCCTGGCATCGCTTTGGATCGCGTGCAGCCGACCTGACCGACTCGCTCGAGAAAGACGGTGGACGAGCGAATGCGGCGGTCCCCGATGATGGGGCCCTGGAAGACGAGCTGTTCGTCTTTGTGGCGAAGCGGAAGCCAAAGACGCTGGGCTGTCGAGCGCCTGTCGATGATGCGGCGCTCATGCTGGGAAGGAGGCTGCGCAAGAGGCATGATGCGGTGGTGGACGGCCTGTCGGCGAAGGTGGACCTCGCTGCTCCGACAATATCGGAGGGGACCTGGGCGGAAGAGGAGGGGCCCAGCGGGCAGGACGTCTTCGAGTGGATCCTGCTGCGCGAGATGGGCTCAGCCTTGTGAGGCGCTCTGCTGAGCCTCGCGGGGGGCACGAGGCGGACGGCCGAGCACCGCGTCCCAAATCATCTGCCTGGACTGCTGCGCCGCCACAATCATCGATCGGTGGTCCTCATCAAAGCCTGCCACGTCAATCTCGAGGGGCCTGTCGTTGCGGTGCCACGAGACCGGCACGCAGAACCAGAAGTCCGCCGGTGGATAGGACAGGCAGAGGGGGCTTGACAGTCGGCTGGTAGACTCGAGGTTGCTGTCCTCGAAGCTCCAGCCCGACAGACGGCCAGATGTCTCTGATGCCTTTGGCGAGCTGCTCAAAGACTCGTCGTACAGGCTCGCCAGCGTGGCTGCATCAAAGGGCCAGGTCTGGTCGTCACCATCGGAGGCCGGCCACGTTGCCAGCGCCGCGTCCGACTCCGGGGCGCTGCTGGGCTGGTTTGAGACGGGCAACAGGTCGATGGACTCGACGCTCGACTTGTCACCGTCCGATGCTTCGTCTTCGCGGTCCTCGAGCAGCTCGTCGTCCTGGATCATGCTGTTCCGACCTTGGTCGACATTGGGTCTCTCGGCGACATCGTCTCGATGAAGCTGGTCGCTGCGGTGCAGCTCGAGGGCTTCGAGCCAGGAGCTGTGCGACAGAAGTCTTGCCCTCCTGCGCTCGTAGCGGGTCGTGCCGGGGGCCTCGACGCGGGTGTACGCCCCCTTGAGCAGGAACGGCTCCTCGTCTTCTTGTTGCGATGGCCAGGGTGGTTGGGCCGACATGAGCGATGCGGGAGCAGGGGCGTTGAGGTGTCTGGCCTTGGTGGATCGGGACGCCAGGGCCGAAGATGGTGGCGGCTCTTGGCGCTCGAGCTGAGACGGAGGCTTGTCCAGAAGGCGGCGGGAGCGTGCTCCGAAGAAGCGCTGCTGTAGGTGACGGTCCTGTCGCTCGTTGGGAACGGCCAGCTGGAAGGGTGTCCAGAGCGGTGAGGAGGCAGGAGACGCGCCGTGGGCCCCGGGCGGACCGAGAAGTGCGATGGTCTGAGTGCGGAAGCGCTTCCGCACCTTCAGCCCTTTGCTGCCCATCCAGTTGATGGACATGGCTCCGGCGGCCAGGTCGGGTTGAGTCGGGTCGGGCCGATGCCCGATGTCTTCGACTGGGGACGAGGTGGGATAGAGGAGCTGCGTGGCGACGAGGTCGAAGGAGGTCCGGAGGAGAGACGAAGAGGCCCTGGAATGCCCGCTGTGGCGAGCTTTGGGCCACTCCGCTGCCGTCGCCGCGAAACTCTGGCCTCCTGGCCACGAGCAGGGCAGAAGGATGCCACGGCCAGCTCGTCACGATCCTCTCCGGTGGCGGCCCTTTGCGACTTGGCCAGGCCAAGGGCTTGGTGTTGCTCTCAGGGCCGCCTGCCTCCACTTGGCCTGGCCTGCCGACCCGGCCAGGCTGGCCAGGCCTAACAGCGCAGCTGTGGGGGAATGCAGCGGGCCCGATGGTCTTTTTCAAATCGGGTGCACGTCGCCCGCTCATCCGCCCCACGCCCTAGACCAACACTTCGTCGGATGCCCCGAGCGCCTGCCAGACCGACGTGGCTTTGCTGGCTGGCTGGCTCCCCACAACCACCGACGCCGTTGCAGCCCCCGCGCCAAGCCCGGCGCACACATTGACATCGACCGCCACCTCGCCGCAGCCGCTCCAACGACGCCAGCGACCGCCCTCGCACAATGGCGTCGTTTCTCAGCCAGGCTTCGTCCTACTTTGGGCGCACCAACATCTCGGTCAACTACACCATCGACGAGGCCCAGACGCCGGCACACTGCGGCCTGTGGAAGATCTACAAGGCGACCCGCAATGCTTCGTCGAGCAGCACCACCTCGACGTCGGCCCCAGCAGGCAGAGGCACCGTCTCAATCTGGGTCCACTCGCTAAACACAAGAGGGCAGGCCCGGGCTCGGGTGCTGGACCAGCTCAAGAAGGAGGTGAGGGCCAGTCCTGTCCTGGTCGCTTTGCAATCGTTTCGGCCCGCAGCGCACCTTCTGACTGACACTGCCTGAGCCGACCTCGTCCGTCCACATCACAGGCCTCGAGCCTTACCCGCCTGCGGCACCCCTGCATCCTCGAGGTCGTCGAGCCGCTGGAGGAGTCGAGAAACGAGGTCACGTTCGCCACCGAGCAGGTCTTTGCCACGTTACAGGAGGCACTCGTGGCCGACCACCGCGCCGACGTCCAGCTCGACGAGGTCGAGATCCAGAAGGGCCTGCTGCAGATCGCTCGTGGCCTCGAGTTCCTCCATTTCGGCGCCAAGATGGTGCACCAGAACCTCACGCCAGACTCGATCCTGATCAACGCCAAGGGCGATTGGAAGATTGCGGGCTTCTCGTTCCTCACAACCCTGACAGCCCCAGACGGCACGCCGACGCCATGGTCATTTCCGGATAGCGACCCATCACTACCGCCCGCCCTCTCCCGCAACCTCGACTTCCTCGCGCCCGAGTACGCTCTCGACGAAAAGGAGCCACAGCCCGCAAACGACATGTACTCGCTCGGATGCGTCGTCTACGCCGTCCACAACCGCGGCAATCCGCCTTTCCGGAATCGCAGCGTCACCAACCTACGGCAGAACGCCGACCAGCTCTCGGTCGCCGTGGGCAGCGCCAGCTGGCAGAGGATGGGCAAGGACGTGCTCGACCTGCTTGGCAGCCTCCTCACGCGCTACCCAGGCGCCAGGCTCAACGCCCAGACCTTTCAGCAGGCGTCCTACTTCAACAGCATCCTCGTCTCGACGCTCAAGTTCATGGAGCGCGAAAACTTTGCCGGGCGAACGAAAGAGGAACGGGTACAATACCTCAAGGGCCTGCTCAAGATCCTCCCGCAATTTTCGGACCGCCTGCTGCGCCGCAAGGTGCTGCCCGCCGTGCTCGAGCTCATGTCGGACAGGTCGCTCTTGCCCTACATCCTGCCCAACGCCTTCTACATCTCCAAGAGCCTGTCGTCGATCGAGTTCACCGGCTCGGTGCTGCCCAAGCTCAAGCCCCTCTTCCAGGTCCAGGACCCGCCGCAGAACATGCTCATCCTCCTCGACCAGATTGAGCTCTTTGTCCAGAAGACGAGCCCGTCGGTGTTTCGCGAAGAGGTGACGCCGCTGCTATACGCCTCGCTCGAGGCCGAAAACGTCATGGTCCAGGAAAAGGCGCTCAACACGGTGCCCCGACTCGCAGAGATCCTCGAGTACGCCCACGTCAAGGAGGTCCTCTTCCCCAAGCTGGCCGTGCTCTTTGCCAAGACCAAGGTGCTCAGCGTCAAGGTCAACACTCTCATCTGCTTCCATTCGATGGTGGCCATCCTGTGAGTGGCTCGACGAGCGTGCCCATCCCGGAGGATGGTAGTGCAACTGTGCATCAAAACTCGCTGACACCTCTCCACCTCCTCGAAACGGCGTGCGTACGGCCGCCTCGCTCATGCTGATACAACCCCCTCCCCCTCGCGCAGCGACAAGTACACGCTGACCGAGAAGCTGGTGCCGATCCTGGCGCGCATCAAGACCAAGGAGCCGTCGGTCATGATCGCCACGCTGGCGGTGCACGAGGCCATGTCGAAGAAGGTGGACCGCGAGACGCTGGCGACGGCCATCATCCCGCAGCTCTGGATCATGAGCATGGGCCCGCTGCTCAACGCCGAGCAGTTTGCGCGCTTCATGAAGGCCGTCCAGGAGATGGGCGCGCGCGTGTGCGAGGAGCATACCAAACACCTCCGCGAGGTCAAGAGCGCCGTCGAGCACACCGACAGCTTCGTCGGCGCGCGCCAGAACGGCGGCGGCGGCGGCCTCAGCGGCGGCGTGACGGGCATCGGGGCCGGGGGCGAGATTGACTTTGCTACGCTCGTCGGCAACGCCAAGACGGCCGCCGGCGCCAGCAAGGAGGTGTCGAGGGACAGCGCCGCGGCGGATCCCTTTGGGTTCGACGACTCGCCCTTTGGAGGCGCGAGCGCCGCGTCGACACCGGTGCAAGCATCGACGCCTGCGCTGACGCCATCGCATACGGGCGCGGGGTCTGGCTTCCGACCGTCGAAGCCTGCCCTGCCAGCCTCGATCAACCGGGCATCCAACAACAGCAGCCCCTTTGTCGGCGGGAGCCTTAAATCGAGCACCAGCACTGGCACCCTGCCGTCCCTCGCCCCGCCACCGCCGCCTGCGTCGTCCTCGACCCGGCCGATGCTCTCCTCCAACCTGAGCTCCTCGACCTCGGTGTCGAGCAAGCCGGCCAGCGCCGGGTGGAATGACATCCTTCAGCCAGCCTCGAGCTCGAGCGGCGCCAAGCCCGCGACGACTTCGGCCATGACCCCGGCCTCGACCTCGACCACAGCCAACGGAGGCGGTGCCGGGCCCAACTACAACATCAGCTTGCCGCCCGCGACCAACTGGTCGAATAATGCGGCCTTCACCTCCGCCGGCAACGGCAACGGCAGCAGCGGCAGCTCGTCGATGATGACGCCCATGTTTGCCCAGGCGAAGGCCATCGAGCCGACGCCATCGACCGGCTTCGGCGCGATGGGATCGAGTCTAACGCCGTCTGCGGCCCCCGCCCTGGCGCCTTCGCCAGCGGCATCGGTCATGGCATCAAGCGGACCTGCGGCGCCGCCCGGGTGGGAAGGTGCGGTTTTGCAGCCGTCGACGAGCAAGGGCAGCGGCGGCAAGGCCGGAGGAGGCATCCACAACGGCGGCGGCGGCGGCGGCGCTGATGCGTGGAAGGACTTTGACCCGTTCGGCTGATTGGGGTGGCCACCGAGCGTCCGTCGGCCGTATACCCCCCTTCGCTCTGTTTCTCCTCCGTGCTTTTCGCAATGCCCGCCAACTCCCATCTGCCGTCTGCCGGACGAATAGAAGCATGAACACCATCCCTCTGCTCCTGCCCCTCGACCAGCCTCGAAAGCGGGTTTGGTGCATGCGTCGGCGATGGGAGCCAATCGCGCCGGGACTTGGAAGGTGGTGCGGGGTGGACCCGAGAGCGACGTCGATGTCGATGTCGATGTCGATGTCGATGTCGATTGTGATGCTGTGCGATCTGGGTCGAGCCACGCAGAAAAGGCGCTACCTCGGACCCCTCTCGTACTTGTTGGGTTTCGCGCTACCTCTCGCCTTGTGCGGATCTTCTTCGCCTTCAGATGCACTTCCGCCCGCCTTGTCGCTGTCTTCGTGTTCGCCCTCCTGTTGCGCATCCGAGGGGGGAACGGTCATGATCTGAGTCGAGGACCCGCCACGGCCTCGAGAGGAGCTGGTCTTGTCGCCCCTGCCCTTCGACTTGGCGGTACGACGACGGCGGCGATGACGATGCCGTTCCTCGCCGCCTTCACCGTGTGCATGTGCCTCGTCGTCGTCATGGCGGTGATCGTGGCAGGATGACGACGCGCCCGCTCCCTGTCGATGTTTGGCCTTCAGCGCCGAGCTGAGGTTGGGCCCGTCCCTCGCCGAGTCGTCCGAGTGCGCCATCGACGAATCAGAGTCGGAATCCGAGTCGGATCTCTCCGAACTTGATGTCGCCGAAGAGGATGAGGATTCGTCCGAGGAGGATTCGTCGAATGCCTTGGGCTTGTGGTAGATGCAGCAGACTGCGTTGTCGGTGCGAGCGAGCGCAGCGGACGGCAAGGGGGAGTAAAACAAGCAAGGGTGAGCTTCGTACTCACATGCTTCGTCGGTACGGTACGAAGGAGGGGCGGGGAGAGGGGTGTGCGTACTCTTTGACTTTTTGCGACCCAGTCCTTCATTGTCCACCGTCTCCTCGGACCAGACGACACGTCGGGTCGGTTGCGAGGTCTCGCCGCCCGCCATGGCCGCCGCCGAGTCCGGGTGGTGGGCCGTAGCGCGTAACCGCAGCACGCCCTGCTGGCCCGACGTCGTTCCGCCCCGTGTCGTCGCGAGCACCGTGCGCGATCCACTACCGCTTCCCACTGGTGGTGTCGCTGTCCTTTCTGCCATGCTTCGTTCGTTCGTGGTGCTGGTGCGGGGGTGGGTGCGTTGCGGGAGCGGGTGCGGGTGCGGTTGCGGTTGCGGGAATAGGGATGGTGAGAGCGATCGAGGAAGTGGTGGTGGTCAAGCGGAGAGGAGAGGCCCCTCCACTTTTGGCCCCCCGACCCCTCTGCGCTTTGGCCCACCGACGGAGCCGAAGCCAGGCGGCCTGACCCCGGCATCGGCCCCACACGGCCGAAACGATGCACTTGACTCCTGCCTCCCTCTGCCCCGCCCCTCGCCGCTCCCGCCGAGCCCTCGGCACTCCCCCAATCGTGAACGGATGGTGATTGCTGTATTCGTTGCTCGTCATTCGTCAGTCGTAAAGAAAAGTCCCAGCACGAGGATGAGGAAAGAGACATGCACGCCAAACCGGGGCGGATCTAGGATATGAGAGCGGGGACCGACTTGGTCATGCGGGCGGTGCTCTCCGAGCTCACCCTCGGCGACGACGACGACGACGGCGACGTCGTCCTCGCGGGGTGATGCTGGTGCGGCAGCACGACGCTGTTCGACAGCATGCTCGAGCGCTTGCCCTCCCAGTCGCGCCACACGCTCTCCCTCTCCCGCCTCTTCCGTCTCCTCTTGCCCTTGCCTTCGACACCTGTCCCTCCGGCCCGCATGGCCACCGAGCCGTCCATCATGGCCCCCGTCGTCGCCGTTGCACCGCAGCCGTCATCGAGCCCGTCGCCGATCGCCCCCATCGAGGATGCCGTCGTCGACGCCGACTTGCCGCTCCACATCCACCACTGCACCACAATGATAAAGTCGAAGATGAGCGTGCCGCCGCTGCCCAGGAGGAACGGCAGGCACTCTTGCAGGTATTCGCGACGGCCGGGACCCACGGCAGCGGGGCTCACCAGGATCGAGATCGAGTATGTCAGGTTGCCCATGAACGCCGCTACAAAGAGCAGAATCGACAGACCCGCCACCGAGCGGCGCAGGTAGTTTTCCCAGATCTGCGGCAGGCGCGACGTCATGTAGAGCACCGTGCATGTCCACGCCGACATGCGTCCGATTATGCGGTCCCATGTCGGCCCGGTGGGCGGCGCTGGCGGTAGTGGCGGCGTGCCCAAGGTTCGAATACCGTCCGGCGAGGCGATAAAGACGGAGCGAAGCGTGCCGAAGTAGAGGGTGGCTGGATGGCGGATCTTGTCGAGTGCCAGCCGTACCGCGTGCCGCGCTGCGCCGCTGATGCCGGCGCCCAGTTCACCGCTCGATGTTGACCTCGAGGCAACCGCATCCGGGCCCTCTGCGAGCGCGACGACGAGCATCAGGCCCATGAGCGCCATGCCAAAGCCGCGTCGTATCGAGTGCGAGCTCCTGGCCCGGCTCTTGGCTGGCCGACTGCCGCTGCGGTCCACTCGGCGCTTGGGCGTGGCTTCGTTGTCCTCTTCTGCCCTGCTGGCGGAGACATCTGGCCCTGTCTCGATCCCTCCTGCCGCCGTCGTCGTCTTTGCTGCATCTTCGAGCCACTGAGTCTCCTTGCCGCTCCTTGATTCGGCCGGGGGTCCAACGCTGGGAGTCCTGCGATCACCCGCGCACTTCGCTGTGCCGTCCGACGGCGTGGGGGACGACGAATCCTCGCCCTTGTCAACAAGACCCAGGCGGATGGCGGTTCTCGTCATGTCGCGCCCTCTGCGATCGCTCGATTCTCCCTCCCGTGGAGTGAGGTCGCTGCGGACGAGATCCACGCGGGAGCGGGCGAGGCGCTCGGCGGACGAGGCGGCCGATGCCGATGACTGCGTGCTCGCGTGGCTCTGCAGGCTTGTGGTGCTCTGCAGCATCGTGCCGGATACCTCGTCGTCCTCGCTCTCGCTCTCGAGCACCCGAGCTTCGTTGGTGGGGCTCAGCGTAACCGGTGTCCAGTTGGCCTGCGGCTGCCTGCGCGAGGGTTCGGTGGATGCTCCCGCGGAGGCAGAGTGACGGCTGCTGCTGCGCGACATCGACGCGCCGCCCGTCGTGCGCCGAGAAGGATAATGACGGTGCGGGCGGTCGGTTCGGTCGTCGACATGGTGCTGGTTGGAGTGGGAATGATGGTGGTGATGGTGGTGATGGCGATGGTGCGAGTAGTGGGAGTGGACGCTGTCAAAGTACGACGCCGGCTCCCGGCGCCTCGCCGCTTCGTCTGCGAGCTGCGCGACGCTCATCGCAGCGTCTCTGAGGGCACGGTAGGTGGCCGTGTGCGAGTGAAATGACGCTTCCATGTCTTCGGAGCCCCTGCGGCTGATGGGGGGCCTGGCGCTGTGGGCCCTCGCCAAGGTCGGGCTCCTGCTCCCCCTGCTCTGTTGCCTGCGCGACGAGGACGCGCTGGGCAGCAGCTCCGACGTCTCCGTGGGCGCAATGGCAAAGGGATGGACGGCAGGGTGGTAGCTGACCAGGCTGCCCATGCGCGAGCGGACGGGCCTGGTGATGGCCGAGATGGACCTGCGCATGGTCGCCCTCGCCTTTCGCCAGTAGTAGAGGTACTGGACCATGATGCAGAGGTCGACGCAGCAAAAGTAGGTGGCGACGGCGATTTGAAAGGGCAGCTGTCCCGTGAGGACACAGCCGACGAGGTTGGTGGCATCGCCGAGCATCCACTGGACGAGGAAGACGGGGCTGAGTCCCTCGACGCTGCCGCGGCGGTAGTTTTCGAGCAGCTGGGGCGACTGGGCAAAGAGCCAGATGGTGAAGCTGGCCGAGCCCGCCAGGTCCGAAATCGACTGGCGGTCGCGCAGCGCAACGGGCAGCCACCACGAGAAGAGCTGCGACATGGTCATCCTGGCAGCGAGTGTGCGGCCGTCGCAGATGGATGCCGTGGGCGCGGTGGACCTGGTTGCAGTCGAGACGGCACTGTTTTGCCTTATTGCGCTGACATGGGGTCGGCGGGGGGCGGTGGTGTGGTGTGGTGAGGCACGGTGTCGTGCGATGCCGCTGAGCCGTCGAGCTGGTAGTGGCGATGTGGAGCGACTCGTCAAAGGTGGCTCCAGGTGATCTGTCCGCGCGCTCTATGCCTGGTCTCTACTGTATCTCGTCTATCGGATCGTATCGGCCTGGGCGGCGTCCGGGGTATCTGGCGGGCAGGCGTGCGTGCGTACGTGCGTATGAAAGTGCTGCAGAGATAAGGATTGGGCGGATGAGGATGCGGTGGGTTCTTGGCGGAGGTTTCGCTCGCCAGCCAAGGCTCCTCTGAGCTTTTCGACGGGATCCAGCCGTGTCGCCTTGCGCCGGGGCGTGCGGGTGGGGCGTAGGCGGGTTGGGTGATATGAAGCGTTTCCGACGCAGCCCCGTCGTGTTGCTGGCGTGACGAAAGAGAGTGTGTGGTGGCAAAGACCGCGACGGCGGCGGCGTCTAGGAGATAGAGAGTTATGTAGCAGGGCGAAGTGACGAGGCTAGGGAGCAAGGACAGGCAGCCACGCTCGCAGCTTATCGCGGCCAAGCCTGGCCCCCTCCTGGCCTGCCCGGCCTGTCTCTCCCTCTCGCTCTTCTCTCCACCCCCGCCCGTCTGGCAGGCCAGGGCCAAAGCTGCTTCTCTCGGGTCAAGTCGAAAAATCGACATGCATGCGCGGTTTTGGCCCCAAGCAAGGCGTGAGGCAGGGCGGGCCCCTAGCCCTCAATTAGCCGGCCATGCGCCGAGGCCCGGCCTGCTTTCGTCCCCGCCGCCGCCGTCACACGACCCGGCGGGGCC